ATTTTCTCCCCGTGCAAAAATTGTGTATTTGCATACGCACACGCGCAAAGTATGTATTAGGTGGGAATCACGTGCTGAAAATTGAGCACGGCTGTGAAAACATCCCGGAAGGTCTCGTTTACAAGACAGGAGCGGTTTATTTGCTCCTCGTTTCCTCTCTGCCCCCCCCCCCCAACAAAGCGAGTGGGGGCGGATTTATTTATGCAACTTTAAAAAGCTTTGTGCAAGCCGGTTTTAAATTGCTGGGCTAGGCAGGGGCGGCGTTAGAGAAACCAACAATTTAAAAGGTTTTTTTGGGGGGGGCGTTGCAGATAGATAAAGGGGCGGAACGGGAGGTGTTTAGAGAACACGGGCGTATGGCTGCTGTGCATCGATAAAATAACTTATTCTCGCTTTTGCTGATAGCCCATTCTGAGCAGAGTCTGCCCCCCCACTTCGCTTTGCAGTTGTTGATATTTTGCGGGTGAATTTCCTTCTGCACCAGTTGAATGTGTCGAACGCACTGGGATATCAGGCGTCTTTGCAGTTGCTCTGCGATTCCCCCCTACTGCCGGTTGGGGGCGCTAATGTCATAGGCGGCCTGTTCTTTGGGGTGAGCCCTACAGCTTGCATTTGGAACCTCCAGTCTTTCGGCAACCTCTGTTTTCTTTCTGGGGTCCCCACTTTTAAAGGACGGAGGTGTTTCGCTCCTGAGCTACGCAGCGGAAGTCGTTTTCTGCAGGAAGATTTTAAATCGGAGAGCCTGAGACATCGCTGCCCCTAAACCCCCAAACCCCCAGGGGGTTCGACATGAGGACCCACAGAAATTGCAGGAACCGCTGGTCAGGAAGGATGGGGGTTTGGAGACAAGCGAAATCTCGAAAGCCACAACTTCCCTCATTTTGATGCAGAAGGAAACTCCGCATAGCACTGACTGGCCAGTGCCCGGGACGCCACCCGCCCCCTTCGTTTTTCACACTTTTTCAAAAAGTCCTTTCTTTTTCTTCTTTTTCTAAAAAAAGTTAGAGGCTCACGCGACCTGTGAATGTACACTCTGCACTTTCAGGGCGGGGGTGTTAAGAGGGGGAGAGTTTTCGAGGCAGCTGGTGTGGAAAGCAGGGAAGGAACTGGAGGCCGGTGGTTGTGGGGCAACGGCCCCCTAGATATCGTTGGGACTGCCGCCTCCCAACATCCAAGACGGCCATTGGTCGGGGGTGATGGGGAGTCAGAGTCCAGCAATATTTGAAGGGCCACAGGTTATCCTCGAAATTGCACTCCTGCGGGAGATGGAATCGTGGAATTGTAAAGTCGCCATGCTAAAACATCTGGAAAAATTCCTCTTTTTAGAATTGGCATTGACTCGAGGTCTAGGGAAGCCTGTATCCCTCCAGCTGTCGCTGCCTCTATTTGTTTTATTTTATTGATTACGTAAAATGTAACACAGCCTATGCAAAAATAAAATAAATGCCTCAGTTTGCAAGAGGCAGCAGGGAACGCCTCATCTCCCGTCAGGGATGGCAGTGTCTGTGTCCCTGGACTCCAGCTTCCCGCCAGTCCCTGTATTTGGTACAGCCATGGATGATGGGTTATGTAGTCCAGCAACCGCGGATGATGGGTTATGTAGTCCAGCAACCGCGGATGATGGGTTATGTAGTCCAGCAACCGCGGAAGATGGGTTATGTAGTCCAGCAACCGCGGATGATGGGTTATGTAGTCCAGCAACCGCGGAAGATGGGTTATGTAGTCCAGCAACCGCGGATGATGGGTTATGTAGTCCAGCAACCGCGGAAGATGGGTTATGTAGTCCAGCAACCGCGGATGATGGGTTATGTAGTCCAGCAACCGCGGAAGATGGGTTATGTAGTCCAGCAACCGCGGAAGATGGGTTATGTAGTCCAGCAACCGTGGATGATGGGTTATGTAGTCCAGCAACCTGGAATATCCTGATCTGAGACGGAGCCTTCTGCGTTCTCGGGAGAGAGCGTCTCTTCTAAACAGAGGCGTGTTTTCATCTCTTGCATGCGGAAGGGAGTGCCTCTCCTTAGATCAGGGACGGGAGAAATAGCGCTGCATCCCTCTGACTCCCAGTGGTCAGGGACGATGGGAACTGGAGTCCAGGTGGCGCCCGGGCAGCGCATGGTTTCCCCCCCTCCGCGCTGTGGAATAGGGCAGAAGACAGGCTCCCGCTCTCCTTTTAAATTAAGGTTGCCATATTTCAACAGGTGACAATCTGGACACCAAAGTTGTCAAGGATGTTTTGGCCAAAGACAAGCTTTTTTTGATGAAATCTCCCCCCCCAAAAAATGGAAGTTTCGGAACTACAGTCGTACCTCGCAAGTCCGTTCGGCTTCCAAAACGTTCAGAAACCAAAGCGCAGCTTCTGATTGGCTGCGGGAAGCTCCTGCGGCCAACCGGAAGACGCGCCGGATGTTCGGCTTCTGAAAATAGTCCGCAAACCGAAACAGTCACTTCTGGGTTGCCGGTGTTCGGGAGCTGAAATGTCCGAGAGCTAAGCTGTTCGAAAACCAAGGTATAGCTGTGTTTTTAAGGAAATTAAATGTCAACTCTTCGCACATGGGTTGCCGTACGTCTGGGTTTTCCAACGGATGAATCCCGGATATGTCGGGTGGGGGGGAACTATGGCACCCCTATTTTAAATCAACGCCTGCCTTCGTTCTCTGCCTTCGCTCTCTTCCGCCCCAGTTTTTGGACAACCATATGCATAGTTTTAAGGGACACGGGTGGCGCTGTGGGTTAAACCACAGAGCCTAGGACTTGCCGATCGGAAGGTCGGCGGTTCGAATCCCATGACGGGGTGAGCTCCCGTTGCTCAGTCCCTGCTCCTGCCCACTAGCAGTTTGAAAGCACGTCAAAGTGCAAGTAGATAAATAGGTACCACTCCAGTGGGAAGGTAAATGGCGTTTCCGTGCGCTGCTCTGGTTCGCCAGAAGCAGCTTAGTCCTGCTGGCCACATGACCCGGAAGCTGTACGCCGGCTCCCTCGGCCAATAAAGCGAGATGAGCGCCGCAACCCCAGGGTCGGCCACGACTGGACCCAATGGTCAGGGGTCCCTTTATGCATAATTTTGGGGAATGAGTGGTCGTTCGGACGTTCAGAGAATGCGTTGGCCGCTGCAATTTTCCAGAAAAAAAAATGCCTTTGGGATTCAAAGCACATGGCAGTGCCCACTTATTACAATCTGGGGGTTCAGTGCCACAGCGTGAGACAGGGAGAGGGGGGTCTTTATTTGCAGCTGGCAGTTGCTAGCTCACGCGGCGGGATTCGAACTCGGCCCCTGGCGTACCCCCGAGCTACTTTGCTGTCCTTTCTGCGGACGGGGGCTGCTCACCCCCATCGCATCTTCTGCCTTCAGCTCCTTATGCTTATATGCTGGAAACAAACATATATATATATATATATATACTGAATAAAAATGCTATGTTCTGTTAAGAACGCCTCTTGCCACCTTTGTGCGTCTGTCCGTAGAATCATAGAGTCGGAGGGGCAGAGCGTCGGGATGGTTTCATTAGCACCCCTGCTGGCTGGTGGAGGAATGAATGAATGAATCTTTATTTGCGTCGGCCACAGCAATAAAACAATACGATATATAGTCATACCTCGGGTTACAGACGCTTCAGGTTGCTTTTTTTGGGTTACGGATGCGCCGAAAAGAATCCATTTTCAGATACATCACCTGATCCAAAAGCATCTTTTATCATTACCCGAAAGCTTTCCATACGCTGCTTAATAGCAAAATAATTTTAAGATCTGTTTACAGAGATGGACAGATCTGCCCCTTGCAAGCCCCCGCAGACAATTGCGTTGCCTCTAGCCATCTTGAGGGGGGGGCTGTCATTAATAATAATAATAATAATTATTATTATTATTATTTATTATTTATACCCTGCCCATCTAGCTGGGCTTCCCCAGCCACTCTGGGCGGCTTCCAACAAAACACTAAAATACAATAACCTGTTAAACATTAAAAGCTTCCCTAAACAGGTCTGCCTTCAGATGTCTTCTAAAAGTTTGGTAGTTCTTTTTCTCTTTGACATCTGTTGGGAGGGCGTTCCACAGGGTGGGCGCCACCACCGAGAAGGCCCTCTGCCTGGTTCCCTGTAACTTGGCTTCTTGCACCGAGGGAACCGCCAGAAGGCCCTCGGAGATGGACCCAGGTGTCCGGGCTGAACGATGGGGGTGGAGACGCTCCTTCAGATATTCTGGGCCTTTGAGGCCGTTTAGGGCTTTCTAGGTCAGCACCAACACTTTGAATTGTGCTCGGAAGCATACTGGGAGCCAATGTAGGTCTTTCAGGACCGGTGTTATATGGTCTCGGCGGCCGCTCCCAGTCCCCAGTCTGGCTGCCGCATTCTGGATTAGTTTTAGTTTCCGGGTCACCTTCAAAGGGAGCCCCACGGAGAGTGCATGGCAGTAGTCCAAGCGGGAGATAACCAGAGCATGCACCACTCTGGTGAGACAGTCTGCGGGCAGGGAGGGTGGCATCCTGCGTACCAGATGGAGCTGCCCTGGACACAGAATTGACCTGCGCCTCCATGGACAGCTGTGAGTCCGAAATGACTCCCAGGCTGCGTACCTGATCCTTCAGGGACACAGTCACCCCATTCAGGACCAGGGAGTCCCCCACACCTGCCCGCCCCCTGTCCCCTAAAAACAGTCCTTCTGCCTTGTCAGGATTCAACCTCAATCCGTTAGCTGCCATCCATCCTCCAAACGCCTCCAGACACTCACACAGGGTTAACCACCAGCCTTCTCTCTCCCCCACCCCTCGTTTTTCCATTGGGGGAATTTTTCTTTTATTCCTCCAGGAAGAAACAGCCAATCGATTGCCGCGGTGCCCACGCTAGTGCCTCTTCCCATTTTGCTATCTTTTATAAACCGCAAGAAGAAAAAAGAGAAGGGGGGGGGGTTAAAAAAACAAGGAAAGGGTTTGCTGTTTTTCTTCCTTCCTGGGGTTGCAAAGGGGGGCAGGAAGGAGAGAAAATTCTCTTTCCACCCAGACGATGGAGAAGACCATTTGCAACTCGTCCCACAGCAAAGAGGAGATCCAGCCCCTCCGCTATTTAAGGTAAGTTGGCCGCCTTGCGGGAAAAAGACCCCTGCCTTTCTTGCCACCCCCCTTCCCCAGCAAAGCTCTTTGCGCACCTGTCCGGAGGCTGCACCTGTTGAGATTGTGCCTGCGACGGAAGCCTGCCAGGCAACGTTAAGGCGCTGGCCTCGGTAGTTGCGGGCTGGGGAATGGGTTTGTGGGGCCAAAGCAAAGAGGGGCATGTTTTTTCAAATTAAGGGGGGGACAGGCAGGGGTCTGTGATGGAGCCAGGGGTACCTCAATGCCAACAGACCCAGCAGGTGGGCAGATGATGACGACTTGGCCAAAAACGACCCATCGGGGAGCTCGACTCGGGGACCGACGTTTGGGCAGGTTTGGTACTTGGGTGCAGTCGTCCGGCGACTAGAGGGCACCACCTTGGGGAAGGCTGACTTAAGGACTGGGTAGCTCTGCTGGTTAGAACTTGCCAGTAACGGCAAGGTTGTGGGTTCGATTCTCGTATTTTTCTGGAGGGACGCGTACCCCTAAACATTTTGTGGATCTTAAATTGAGGGACGCGGGTGGCGCTGTGGGTTAAACCACAGAGCCTAGGGCTTGTCGATCAGAAGGTCGGTGGTTCAAATCCCCGCAATGACGGAGTGAGCTCCCGTTGCTCGGTCCCTGCTCCTGCCAACCTAGCAGTTCAAAAGCACGTCAGAGTGCAAGTAGATAAATAGGTACCACTCCGGTGGGAAGGTCAACGGCGTTTCCGTGCGCTGCTCTGGTTCGCCAGAAGCGGCTTAGTCATGCTGGCCACATGACCCGGAAGCTGTACGCCGGCTCCCTCGGCCAGTAAAGCGAGATGAGCGCCGCAACCCCAGAGTCAGCCACGACTGGACCTAACGGTCAGCGGTCCCTTTACCTTTATTATTTCAGTATGAGTAGGGAAACGAGAGTACACCCCTAAACATATTTTTTAAAGGGGAAAAAAAGCACTGCCCTGTATGGGACATTTTGCATTGCACCAGGGGGTCTGACTAAATGAGCACTGGGGTCCCTTCCAACTCTCTACCGTTCTGCGACTCTGGGAGTGTGAATGAACCCGGTTCAGACGATCTGTGCGGAGCCAAAGGCGACATCTCCGCCGCCCAGAAAACGATCCTTTCGTAGGCCCAGCCCAGAACCGCAGGTGGTTAAACTGCGGAACTCTCCTCCACTGGATTCAACCCAACTACATGGCTTTAGGCGAGAATTAGGTGAATTCACGGGCGACATCGCTGCCGAGGCAGTGATGCTTCCGAATTTCAGTCGCTGGCGGGGTCCCAAAGCGAGGGGATCCACTCTTGTGATCTGTTTCTCCTTGGGGGTACTTGGTCGGATGGGCCTGATCCCGTAGCCCCTCCTTACAACTCCTTTCCCCACGCACAGCCCCATAAGCTGGATTTTTGCTTTGCCGTCGCCCTGACCTTCCTATTTTAAAAACCAATTTCCATTTAAAATTCTACTTTCGTGAATTGCAAAAGAATGTGTGCTGTTTTGCTCTCTGTCTTTTCAGATTATACTTTCCCCCCACAGACAATATGGTATCCAGGGGTAGGAGGAGGAGGAAATTAGAGGGGGGGGGTGATTATTATTATTATTTATTGAATTAATATCCTGCCCCTGTGCCTGCAAGTCTCAGGCCGGATCCCAGAATAAAACCAGAATACAAAACCACAAAATGCATAACCAGAATTAAAACAACACCCCCGAAAAAACCCACATCTTGAAAGAGTAATGAACATTATTTGCGGGGGGAGCATTTTCAAAACACGGTATACCTGTGAGGTTTTTACATCTGTGTTCTTCGGTTCAGTTCTCTTTCTACCCTATTTTCCCGTGTACAACAAACCCCCGTGTACAAGATGCCCCCGATTTTGGGGGCACTCAAAATTAAGAAAACGGGGGGAGAGATTGCCCGCAACGGTTGAGCTTTTAATGCACTATCTGTGTATAAGACGCGCCCTCCCCAATTTTCTAACATGCTTTTTTAATAATAATTTAAAACCCCTAGTCTTATGCATGGAAAATTACAGTATATGCATTTGTTCGTTTATATGGGCAGCGAAGATCGGGGGCCACTGATCTACGTGGTTGCAACACCGAAAAGGATCATTTTTTTCTCTCTTTGCAAACGCGGGTTTTGCAAAGAGCGACTCGCTCGCCTCTGATCTCCATGGCAACCATAAAACAAGCTTCGCTCTTGAGTGGGATGTGGGTGTTGGGAGCAGAGAAAGATATATATTTTCCTTTCCAATGATGCTGTTAAATCTGTCTCCTCCTGGATTCAGAAGTATCAAAGAAGTGTTTCATTCATATATATATATATATATATATATATATATATATATATCCCCAATTTCTTTTTATTCATTTTATAACACAAATCAGCAACACAGATTCTTGTCTTATCCTTATTTTTTCTAAACATTGTTAGGTGGGCTTCCCCAAGTCCCCCCTATCTGATTTTCATTTTAATTCATCTTTAGCAATTTATATATATCAAAATTTCTAACCATCTTTTTTTTTAAACCACACTTAAAATAACTTCACATTTTATCACTTGCAAATAATACTGTTTTAAAATACGCTATCTTCTACTTCTAACCCTACAGCCTATACCCACTTCCAAAGCTATTCTAAGATTTCAATATTAACATATTTTTTCCCAAATATTCCTTAAACTTCTTCCAATCTTATTCCACCGTCTCTTCTCTCTGGTCTCCCAGTCAGTTTGGCGAGTTCCATATAGTCCATCATCCTCATCTGCCATTCTTCTATGTTCCTTTTTTTCTGTATGCCACAACAGCTGCGAGAATATTGCTACCGAAGAATTGGAAGAAACAAGATTTACCATCTATAGAAGTCTTTCATTTAAACGCATCACAGACTTTGCACAAAATGTGGGGCACACAGAAAACCCTCTGGTTTGGGTACCAGAATAGTTGAAAACAGATGATGGGGAAATTGGTGTCTCACAGAAAACCCTCTGGTTTGGGTACCAGAAAAGTTGAAAATCAGATGATGGAGAAATTGGGGTCTCAAATAAGACCCTCTGGTTTGGGTACCAGAATAGTTGAAAACAGATGATGGGGAAATTGGTGTCTCACAGAAAACCCTCTGGTTTAGGTACCAGAAAAGTTGAAAATTAGATGATGGAGAAATTGGGGTCTCAAATAAGACCCTCTGGTTTGGGTACCACAATAGTTGAAAACAGATGATGGGGAAATTGGTGTCTCACAGAAAACCCTCTGGTTTAGGTACCAGAAAAGTTGAAAATTAGATGATGGGGAAATTGGGGTCTCATAGAAGACCCTCTGGTTTGGGTACCAGAATAGTTGAAAAGGAGGTGATGGGGAAATTGGGGTCTCATAGAAGACCCTCTGGTTTGGGTACCAGAAAAGTTGAAAAGCTAATGATGGGGAAATTGGGGTCTCATAGAAGACCCTCTGGTTTGGGTACCAGAATAGTTGAAAAGGAGGTGATGGGGAAATTGGGGTCTCAAATAAGACCCTCTTCTTCGGGTACCAGACGATGGGAAATGGAGCTTCGAGTGATGGACTGGGATGAGCAGGGAGAGGATGGAGGGGAGAAGGGAGCAAACTCTTCCCGGAATTGCGGTGCCCCTGCCCCCCTTAACTCGCCCCCCACCCTCCGCCCCCCCAGCTCTGCCCAGCCATTGTAGCGTTGTGGGAAGATTTTCTTTCCAAAGGCCTCTTATTTAGCGGTTGCCGTGGCGACGGAACCAAACGCCGCGGGAAGCTGGAAAGCCTTGATTTCTTTTTTTTATTGGGGGGGGGTCTCAATCCAGCGAGAAGGAGAGATCAGCGCAGCGTGAAAAGGGGGCTTATATCGGACAGTGCAAAACCGTGCATTGCGGGGGGTGGGCCGGATGGCCTTTGGGGGGCCCTTGTTTAGTCATTTAGTCGTGTCCAACTCTTCGTGACCCCCTGGACCAGAGCACGCCAGGCCCTCCTGTCTTCCACTGCCTCCCGCAGTTTGGTCAAACTCATGCTGGAAGCTTCGAGAACACTGTCCCACCATCTCGTCCTCTGTCGTCCCCTTCTCCTTGTGCCCTCCATCTTTCCCAGCATCAGGGTCTTTTCCAGAGAGTCTTCTCTTCTCATGAGGTGGCCAAAGTCTTGGAGCCTCAGCTTCAGGATCTGTCCTTCCAGTGAGCACTCAGGGCTGATTTCCTCCAGAATGGAGAGGTTGGATCTTCTTGCAGTCCATGGGACTCTCAAGAGTCTCCTCCAGCACCAGAATTCAAAAGCATCCATTCTTCGGCGATCAGCCTTCTTTATGGTCCAGCTCTCACTTCCATACATCACTACTGGGAAAACCAGAGCTTTAACTATACGGACCTTTGTTGGCAAAGTGATGTCTCTGCTTTTTAAGATGCTGTCTAGGTTTGTCATTGCTTTTCTCCCAAGAAACAGGCGTCTTTTAATTTTGTGGCTGCTGTCACCATCTGCAGTGATCATGGAGCCCAAGAAAGTAAAATCTCCCACTGCCTCCATTTCTTCCCCTTCTATTTGCCAGGAGGTGATGGGACCAGTGTCCATGATCTTCGTTTTTTTGATGTTGAGCTTCAGACCATATTTTGCGCTCTCCTCTTTCACCCTCATTAAAAGGTTCTTTAATTCCTCCTCACTTTCTGCCATCAATGTTGTGTCATCTGCATATCTGAGGTTGTTGATATTTCTTCCGGCAATCTTAATTCCAGCTAGGGATTCATCCAGCCCAGCCTTTCGCATTGGGGGGCCCCTTCCCAACCCACAAATCAAAAATTGTGGGGAGTCCCTGTTTGAAACCCTGGAAAAGCTCTTGCCAGTCAGTGCAAACGGCACTGAGATGGATAGACCGGCTTAAGGCAGCTTCCAATTCGAACCGGATTCTTGTGGACTAGAATCTTGCGTTGTCTTTAGGGGAGAGGCCCATAGCTCAGCAGAGAAGCGCTTGCTTGGTATGCAGAAGGTCCTGGGGTTCAAATCCTAGCAGCAGGGCAGGGGGCTGCCCTTTGCCCTTCGCCATGTCCATGGAGGCACAGGTCAAATCTGTTTCAAGGGCAGGTGTCTACCAGCGCCATCTGGTACGCAGGATGAGACCCTCCCTGCCTGCGGACTGTCTGGCCAGAGTGGTGCATGCTCTGGTTATCTCCCGCTTGGACTACTGCCATGCGCTCTCCGTGGGGCTACCTTTGAAGGTGACCCGGAAACTACAACTAATCCAGAATGCGGCAGCTAGACTGGGGACTGGGAGCGGCCGCTGAGACCACATAACACCGGTCTTGAAAGACCTACATTGGCTCCCAGGACGTTTCCGAGCACAATTCAAAGTGTTGGTGCTGACCTTGAAAGCCCCAAACGGCCCAGTATCCCTGAAGGAGCATCTCCACCCCCATCGTTCTACCCGGACACTGAGATCCAGCGCCGAGGGCCTTCTGGTGGTTCCCTCACTGCGAGAAGCCGAGTTACAGGGAACCAGGCAGAGGGCCTTATCGGTGGTGGTGCCCGCTCTGTGGAACACCCTCCCACGAGATGTCAAAGAGAACAACAACTACAGACTTTGAGAAGACATCTGAAGGCAGCCCTGTTTAGGGAGGCTTTTAATGTTTGATGTATTACAGTATTTCAGTATTTTTTGGGGAAGCCGCCCAGCGTGGCTGGGGAAGCCCAGCCAGATGGGCTGGGTATAAATAATAAATTATTATTATTATTATTATTATTATTATTATTATTATTATTCACCGAGCCTGAAACCCCAGAGACCAGCTGCCGGTCAAAGTAAACGATATGAGGCCAGATGGACGCATTGGTCTGAGCTCAGCTTCCTAGCAAACCTCCCTTCTGCCTGGGTTTGTTGCTTCTGCAGCAAGCCTTCTGCTTCGGCTCATTTAACGGCGGGCGCGAGGGCGATTTGCTTAACGATTACCCCCCCCCCCGTCACCGCTTTGATTAGCGATAATAATTCAACAGTTGAAAACACGAATCTGTCCATTCCTCTTTTCGTCGGGACTAGAACTCGTAGCTGAATGCCAGAAGATTTGGGACAGAGAAAAAGCCGTCCTTCTTGCACCTGGTTAACCTGTGGGACTCCCTGCCACAACCCAGATGGGCTTTGAAAGAGGACTGGGCAAATTCGTGGAGGGCTTTTGAAGGCTGCTAGCCACGGAGGTTATGCTCTCCTTGCTTCTATCCAGATTCCGGATTTCAGGTCCATGGGGTCACGAAGAATCGGACACGACTAAACGACTAAACAACAACAACATGAGAACAGGATACTGGACTAATAATAATAAATTTTTATTGATACCCTGCCCTTCCCGGTTCAAAAACCAGGCTCCGGGCGGCTAACAACAAATTTAAAACACTTAATTGTAAAAGCAGCTTAAAATACAGTATAAAAACATGAATAACAATAAAATTCAAAATCGATTTAGGGGGAAAAAGCATTAGATAATCCCCAGGGCTAGCTGGCTGAATTGGTCCTACTTGGGCCAGTGAGGAGACCAGGGGAGAATTAGCTGTGGGGTCTCAGAGCGGGTAATCTTCATAAAAGGGGAGGGGGAGGGAAGGAAGGGGAATAAAAGATCAGACTAAGTTCAAATTAAAGGCCAGGTGGAATAGCTCTGTCTTACAGGCCCTGCGGAAGGAGGTTAAATCCTGCAGGCCCTGGTCTCATGGGACAGAGCAGTCCACCAGGTTGGAGCCATCACTGAAAAGGCCCTGGCCCTGGTGGAGGATAGTCTGACTTCCTTAGGGCCCGGGACCTCTAAACTATGGTTATTCATGGACCTTAAGGTCCTCTGCGGGGCAGACCAGGAGAGGCGGTCCCGTAAATACGAGGGCCCTAAGATTGATGGAGCACATGTTTCTTAGGTCCTCACCCACTAGCCTTGTGGCAGGGAGTTCCACAGGTTTGCCACACTGCATCATTCGCCCTGAAACTTCAAATTCCGGCACGATCCCACTGCCGTCAAACCCACCCACCAAAATCTCATGCCAGAGCATGTCTAGCTCGGAGCCCCGCAAATTCGACAAGGCAACCCTTGTCTCGATTCCTGTAACATACACATTCCTGTTTGCTCCAGGCCCAGATTTACCTATAAGCTCAACAAGCTATAGCTTCGGGCCCCGCTGTCTTGGGGCCCCCCAAAAAAATTTAAAGGGAAGGACAGATCGTGTCCCTGGAAGGACAGATCGTGAAGCTGAGGTTCCAAGACTTTGGCCACCTCAGGAGAAGAGAAGACTCCCTGGGAAAGACCCTGATGTTGGGAAAGATGGAGGGCTCAAGGAGAAGGGGACGACGGAGGACGAGATGGTGGGACAGTGTTCTCGAAGCTACCAGCATGAGTTTGACCAAACTGTGGGAGGCAGTGGAAGACAGGAAGGCCTGGCGTGCTCTGGTCCAGGGGGTCACGAAGAGGCGGACATGACTAAATGACTCAACAACAAAAACAAACAAACCTTTTCCTGTGTCTTGCAGCAGAGCAGAAGCTTTGGCGATCGACAAAGAACTCCTGGAGGAGTTTAGGTTCGGGCACCAGCAGCTGATTGAGATCTGGGGTCATGCGTGTGCCATGGCAGTCACCAAGGTAAGCGCAAGGTTACCAGCTGGGATGGAAACAGCTGAAAGGGAGGAGGAACGGAAACTTTCTGGTCTGGAGGGCGCCAGGTTGGCAACCCTCGTGGTCTCAGAGCTCTCCTTTAAATCAGAACCAGTGAAGGCGGTGAAGGTCCTGTGTGAGTGTCTGGAGGCGGTTGGAGGATGGATGGCGGCCAACAGATTGAGGCTGAATCCTGACAAGACAGAAGTACTGTTTTGGGGGGACAGGAGGCGGGCAGGTGTGGAGGATTCCCTGGTCCTGAATGGGGTAACTGGGCCCCTGAAGGACCAGGTGCGCAGCCTGGGGGTCATTTTGGACTCACAGCTGTCCATGGAGGCGCAGGTCAGTTCTGTGTCCAGGGCAGCTCCATCTGGTACGCAGGATGAGACCCTCCCTGCCCACGGACTGTCTGGCCAGAGTGGTGCATGCTCTGGTTATCTCCTGCTTGGACTACTGCCATGCGCTCTATGTGGGGCTGCCTTGGAAGGTGACCTGGAAACTGCAGTTAATCCAGAATGCGGCAGCCAGACTGGTGACTGGGAGCGGCCGCCGGGACCACATAACACCGGTTCTGAGAGATCTGCATTGGCTCCCAGTACGTTTCCGAGCACAATTCAAAGTGTTGGTGCTGACCTTGAAAGCCCTAAATGGCCCAGTAGACCTAAAGGAGCATCTCCACCTCCATCGTCCATCCCGGACACCGGGGTCCATCTCCCGAGGGCCTTCTGCCGGTTCCCTCATTGCGAGAAGTGAGGTTACAGGGAACCAGGCAGAGGGCCTTCTCGGTGGTGGCGCCCGCCCTGTGGAACCCCCTCCTATCAGATATGAAGGAAATAATCCTATCTTTAAAAGACATCTGAAGGCAGCCCTGTTCAGGGAAGCTTTTAACATTTAACGCTGTATTGTTTTTAATACTTGATTGGGAGCCGCCCAGAGTGGCTGGGGAAACTCAGCCAGATGGGCGGGGTATAAAGAATAAATTATTATATATATTATTATGTTTCCGAGCGCCCTGAGGTGGCAGCCTGTTGTTGTTGGTCCAGCGCTTCCTTCAGGTACCACTGAAGTCGCCTCTTTTTGACGTTTCCCAGAGCATCTCCTTCATTTTCGGCCTGTTAGTTTTGGACGAGGAGCGGCCGCATCTGGCTTTTTAATTGCTCGCAGCCTCTCCCGACCCTCCGCCGCCGAGGAAATGCCGTGCGGTTTTCGAAGTCTGGCCCTGCCCGCGATGAGGGGGGAATGGGGACCCCTCCCTCTCCCCCCACCACAGGGGGGAGTTGAGTTGCTATTTGGGCAATTTTAAAAATTTCATTTTCCCTCTTCCGGATTTTTACCTCTGGTTTGGAATCAGGTATTTGCACTGCATTGCACTGGGGTAGCCAGTAATTATTATTATTATTATTATTATTATTTATTATTTCTACCCCGCCCATCTGGCTGGGCTTCCCCAGCCACTCTGGACAGCTTCCAAAATATATTAAAATACTGCAATACATCAAACATTAAAAGCTTCCCTGAACAGGGCTGCCTTCAGATGTCTTCTAAAAGTCTGGTAGTTGTTGTTCTCTTTGACATCTGGTGGGAGGGCGTTCCACAGGGCGGGCGCCACCACCAAGAAGGCCCTCTGCCTGCTTCCCTGTAACCTCACTTCTCGCAGGGAGGGAACCGCCAGAAGGCCCTCGGGAGATGGACCCAGGTGTCCGGGATGGACAATGGGGGTGGAGATGCTCCTTCAGGGATACTGGGCCATTTAGGGCTTTCAAGGTCAGCGCCAACACTTTGAATTGTGCTCGGAAACATACTGGGAGCCAATGCAGATCTCTCAGGACCGGTGTTATGTGGTCTCCATTCCCAGTCCCCAGCCTGGCTGCCACATTCTGGATTAGTTGTAGTTTCCGGGTCACCTTCAAAGGTAGCCCCACGGAGAGCGCATGGCAGTAGTCCAGGCGGGAGATAACCAGAGCATGCACCACTCTGGCCAGACAGTCTGTGGGCAGGTAGGGTCTCATCCTGCGTACCAGGTGGAGCTGCCCTGGACACAGAATTGACCTGCGCCTCCATGGACAGCTGTGAGTCCAGAATGACTCCCAGGCTGCGCACCTGGTCCTTCAGGGACACAGTTACCCCACTCAGGGCCAGGGAGTCCCCCACACCTGCCCGCCCCCTGTCCCCCAAGAACAGTTCTTCTGTCTTGTCAGGATTCAACCTCAATCCGTTAGCCGCCATCCATCCTCCAACCGCCTCCAGACACTCACAGAGGGTTAACCATCAGCCTTCTCTCCCCCCCCCCATTTTTCCATTGGGGGAATTTTTCTTTTAGTTTTTCTTTTAATTTTTCCATTGGGGGAATTTTTCATTCAGTGCTGACAGAGCTGAGCGACCAATGGTCTGACTCGGTTTGGCAAGCTCCCTAGGTTCTTATTTAAAACCAGACCACGAAGGCTAGATCAGGGGTCAGCAACCTTTTCCAGCAGGGGGCCGGTACACCGTCCCTCAGACCATGTGGGGGGGCCGGACCATATTTTGGACAGAAAAAAAATGAACGAATTCCTATACCCCACAAATAACCCAGAGATGCATTTGAAATAAAAGCACACATTCTACTCAAGTAAAAACACGCTGATTCCCAGACCGTCTGAAGGCCAGATTGAGAAGGCGATTGGGCTAGATCCGGCCCCCGGGCCTTAGGTTGCCTACCCCTGGGCTAGAACCTTGTTTTATCCTTAAGGGAAGGAGTAGGGAAAAGAGTTCCAGGTTTGATTGCAAAACATCTCAGGTTAGGGCTAAGGGGAGATGCGCTGCCTGAAAGACCTCCTTATATTCCTGATGGAAGCCACTGAGGTTCTGGTCCTGGGGTCTCTCCCATTGGGTGCCTCTGTTTTTATCCTGAGCCCCCACCCACACCCCATCGCCCTGCACCCTAATTTTCCCGGGCGTCTCGTTCCAGGTTTTCCCTCGGAGGTCTCTGCAGAGGAAGCAGCCGACGTTGCTGGTGGTCTGCGGCTGTGAGCAGAACGGAGCGGTCGGACTGGCGTGCGCCCGTCACCTGCGTGTCTTTGTAGGTACCTGCCCCCCCTGTCCTCCCCCCCAGAGTTTGTCTTTGTTTCCAACTTGCACCTTCTCTCCTCCTTGTTCGAATCCATTTCTGCCCCCCCCCCCGTTTAAAAGAGGGTTGGAATTTAATATATAATGAACTGAAGAAACTTCTTAAGTACACATTCCCGAAAAAAACCGGAAGCTTTTCTATTAGGGATCATAGGGGAGGAAGTTAAGAAGGAGGACCATAAATTATTCCAATATGCTACTGAAGCAGCTAGAATACTGGTAGCTCAAAAATGGAAATTACAGGAGACCCCAACGATAACGGAATGGCAGGCTAAATTTTTTAAGTATACAGAATTAGCTAAAATGACCTACAGAATTCGAGACCAAAAAGGGACAAAGTTTGAAGAAGAGTGGGGTAAATTTGTGGCATACATAAGAATTAACTGTAGAAGTTTAAAGACCACAGCAGGGTTGATATAAATCCTGTGATGTGTATGGAAGGTGAATAAGAATCTACAAGAGAAGACATATATTAAGAAAACCGAAGCGGGAAGGAAGGAAATCTGGGTGTGAATATACACAGTGTAAATAAGACGACACAAAATGATGACTGTAAAATATTGCTTTATTTTGTTTTATTTTTGTTTGTGAAAAAATTAATAAAAAGCAATTTAAAAAAATAAATAAAAGAGGGTTGGACAAATTCATAGAGGTATTGATGGCTACCAGCCGCCAGGGCTATGATGTCTGGAGGCAAAGTTGCTTGGGAATTCCATCTCAGGATGTCTGAAAACACACACACACACACACACACACACACACACACACACACACAGAGTGATGTTTCTCCCAGCGCTATTGAAAGGTGCAAAATCAGGTCTCTCTCCTGTGGTGATATTTTACAATTTAGTTTATTTGCAAAGCTATTGCACTACCAACCTTACTGTATGCTTGTGAAACATAGACCACTCATAAACGCCATCTCCAACTCCTCAGAAGATTCCATCAACGGTGTCTCTGAAAAATATTACACATCACTTGGGAAGACAGGCGAACTAATATCAGTGTTCTGGAAGAAGCAAAGATCACTGGTTTCGAAGCGATGATTCTTCAACATCAACTTCGTTGGACTGGTCATGTTGTGCGGATGCCTGACTATCGTCTTCCAAAGCAACTATGGTGGTACCTCAGGTTACAGACGCTTCAGGTTACAGACTCCACTAACCCAGAAGTAGTATCTCGGGTTAAGAACTTTGCTTCAGGATGAGAACAGAAATCATGCTCTGTCGGCGCAGCGGCAGCAGGAGGCCGCATTACCTAAAGCAGTGCTTCAGGTTGAGAACAGTTTCAGGTTAAAAACGGACCTCCGGAACGAATTAAGTTCTTAACCCAAGGTACCACTGTACTCTATTCTGAACTTAAAAATGGAAAGCATAATGCTGGTGGTCAACAAAAGAGGTTTAAAGACTCACTCAAGGCACATTTTTAAAAATGTAGTATAGGTAAAGGTAAAGGGGCCCCTGACCATTAGGTCCAGTCGTGACCGACTCTGGGGTTGCAGCGCTCATCTCGCTTTATTGGCCGAGGGAGCCGGCGTACAGCTTCCGGGTCATGTGGCCAGCAGGACTAAGCCGCTTCTGGCGAACCAGAGCAGCGCACAGAAACGCCGTTTACCTTCCCGCTGGAGTGGTACCTATTTATTTACTTGCACTTTTACATGCTTTTGAACTGCTAGGTTGGCAGGAAAATGTAGTATAAACACTGACAACTGGGAAACACTGGCCTGCGAGCGCTCCAGTTGGAGAACAGCCTTGACCAAAGGTGTCAAGTGCTTTGAAGACGCTCGAATTCAGGACACAAGGGAGAAACATGCTAAGAGGAAGGCACGCTTGGCAAACCCTCACCGGGATCAACTCCCGCCCAGAAACCTATGTCCCCACTGTGGAAGGACGTGGGGATCCAGAATTGGCCTCCACAGTCACTTATGGACTCACTGTTAAAACCGTATTTATGGAAGACAATCTTACTTGGCTACGAGGGATTGCTAAAGAAGAAGAAGAAGAAATTTGTTCCCCAAACCCTCGCAGAATCGCTGGGGTGAGGTTGAAGGAGAGAGAATGCTCTGTCTTGGGACTAAAAATATTAGCACTGTTGGCCAGGGGGTTTTCTGAGCTTTGCAAACTGCAAAGAGAGCTCAGAGAGAGATGCATGGTTCTGCTTTTAATGCAAACTGCGCTTTAGCTTTTGAAACCCGCATAGCAACGGTCCCGGCTGGTTTGGCAGGCTTTTAATACACCATATTTGCAGCGTACAAAGCACCCTGGAGTCTCTTTCTTGCCCTGAATTAGTCTCGCTAGGAAATAAGTCCAGGTCGCCCGGGGGAACGAGGAGGAGAAGGGAAAACAGGATTTCAAGTCCCCTTCCTTTTCTGAAATTTATTTCTCAGGGATGAAGCGGTTTCCTTCCCCTTCCTGTGCCAGCCACCCCGCTTCTGAAATTTATTTCTTAACTTTCATTCAGAGTTTAGAACCCTGCCCGTTATCAGTTAGATATCCAGTTCCCCATTTCAGGAAGGCTGGAGCATAGCTGTCAACTTTTCCCTTTTCTTGCGAGGAATCCTATTCGAAATAAGGGAATTTCCCTTAAAAAAGGGGAAACGTTGACAGCTATGGGCTGGAGTGTAGAGCGATGAGGGAAATGTCGCTTCAGCAAGGCTTCCACTTGAATAATGATAATAATAATAATAATAATAATAATAATAATAATAATAATATTTTATTTATACCCCGTCCAACATTTTGGAGGTCCCAATTTGCAAGGTGGTTAGATTGGTCTCAACTAGGACTAGGGCCTTTTCAGTACTGGCCCCGACTTGGTGGAACGCTCTGTCCCAAGAGACCAGGGCCCTGCAGGACTTGACATCTTTCCACAGGGCCTGCAAGACAGAGCTGTTCCGCCTGGCCTTTGGTTTGGACTCGGTCTGACCCTTATGTTTCCCTCCCCTTATGGTCTTGATCTATGGGCTACTTTTAAAATGAGGCTGCATTTTAAATTGCATTTTAACCTGTATTTTAAATTGGTTCCCCCCCCATTATGTTTTTACTGTAATTTTACTGGTGTTAGCCACCCTGAGCCTGGCTCTGGCTGGGGTGGGCGGGGTATAAATTATTATTATTATTATTAGTCAGCATCTTAAAAAGCAGAGACATCACCTTGCCAACAAAGGTCTGTATAGTTCAAGCTATGGTTTTCCCAGTAGTGATGTATGGAAGTGAGAGCTGGACCATAAAGAAGGCTGATCGCCGAAGAATGGATGCTTTTGAATTCTGGTGCTGGAGGAGACTCTTGAGAGTCCCATGGACTGCAAGGAGATCAGACCTCTCCATTCTGAAGGAAATCAGCCCTGAGTGCTCACTGGAAGGACAGATCCTGAAGCTGAGGCTCCAAGACTTTGGCCATCTCATGAGAAGAGAAGACTCCCTGGAAAAGACCCTGATGTTGGGAAAGATGGAGGGCGCAAGGAGAAGGGGACGACAGAGGACGAGATGGCGGGACAGTGTTCTCGAAGCTACCAGCATGAGTTTGACCAAACTGCGGGAGGCAGTGGAAGACAGGAGGGCCTGGCGTGCTCTGGTCCAGGGGGTCACGAAGAGGCGGACACCACTAAACAACAAAACATCATCATCATCATCATCATCATCATCATCATTATTCCTTCCTCTATTGTCTCCCCCTTATGTTTCTCCTTGCAGGAATACGAACCCACCATTTTCTACCCGAAGAGATCTTCGAACCCTCTTTTCCGCGATTTCACCACCCAGTGCGAAAAGATGGACATTCCATTTCTTTCCTATCTGCCAGCGGAGGTGAGCAAAGTCTTTCTGGTCCTTCAGTTGCAACGGAGCATCTTGGTGCAACAACAAAAAAGACCAATTATAATTTATTCTTTATACCCCGCCCATCTGGCTGGGTCCCCCCAGCCACTCTGGGCGGCTTCCAACAAAACACTAAAATACAATAACCTATTAAACATTAAAAGCTTCCCTAAACAGGGCTGCCTTCAGATGTCTTCTAAACGTTTGGTAGTTATTCTTCTCTTGCCCTCTTCATCAAGCCCTCTTGATGGCAGATGTTAACAGATGATTGTACAGCGGTGCCTTGGTTCTCAAACTTAATCCATTCTGGAAATTCCGTTCCAAAACCAAAGCATTCCAAAACCAAGGCATGCTGCATTCCCATGGAAAGCAATGCAAAACGGATTAATCCGTTCCGGGCTTTTAAAAACACAACCCCCAAAACAGCAATCGGACATGGATTTTACTATCTAATGAGACCATTACAAGCACAATTCAAAGTGCTGGTCTTGAACTTTAAAGCCCTAAACAGCCTCAGCCCAGTATACCTGAAGGGGCGTCTCCACACCCATTGTCCAGCCCGGACACCGGGGTCCATCTCCTGAGGGTCTTCTGGCGGTTCCCTCCCTGCGAGAAGCAAAGCTACAGGGAAGCAGGCAGAGGGCCTTCTCGGTGGTGGCGCCCTCCCTGTGGAACGCCCTTCCATCAGATGTCAAGGAAATAAACTATTACCTGACTTTTAGAAGCCATCTGAAGGCAGCCCTGTTTAGGGAAGTTTTTAATGTTTGATGTTTTAATGTATTTTTAATCTTTGTTGGAAGCCGCCGAGAGTGGCTGGGGAGACCCAGCCAGATGGGCGGGGTACAAATAAAATTATTATTATTATTATTATTATTATTATTATTAGAAAGCAATAAACAGTGTACTGCAGTCACACAATCAATCCATCAGTAGCTGGACTGGGTTCTGCACAGTCGCAAAAACAAAAGGAAAAAGAGCTGCAAAAACAGAAACACAAAATAAATAGCAAAAATGAACAGACCTCAGCGTAACACTCAAAATGGAAGTGTGGCGCTCAAAAATCGGAAGCATAACTCTCAAAATGGAGCATGTTCGTCTTCCAAAAAATGTTCGCAAACTGGAACGCTTTCTTCTGGGTTTGCAGTGTTCGGGTCCCGAGTTCTTTGAGTACCAAGGCGTTTGAAAACCAAGGTACCACCATATTTCGGTTTGCTGTTCTCTCAGGCAGTGTGAATGAGGTAAAAAAGGTAAAGGGACCCCTGACCATTAGGTCCAGCCGTGGCCGACTCTGGGGTTGCGGCGCTCATCTCGCTTTACTGGCCGAGGGAGCCGGCGTACAGCTTCCGGGTCATGTGGCCAGCAGGACTAAGCCGCTTCTGGCGAACCAGAGCAGCGCACGGAAACGCCGTTTACCTTCCCGCCGGAGCGGTACCTGTTTATCTACTTGCACTTTGAGGTGCTTTCGAACTGCTAGGTGGGCAGGAGCAGGGACTGAGCAACGGGAGCTCACCCCGTCATTGCGGGGATTCGAACCGCCGACCTTCTGATCGGCAAGTCCTAGGCTCTGTAGTTTAACCCACAGCGCCACCCGCGTCCCTCTATTTAAGATCCACAAAATGTTTAGGGGTACGCGTCCCTCCAGAAAAATACGAGAATCGATCGCTTCTCGGCCTTTTGCCTAAGATCAAGCGCTTTATTGGCCGAGGGAGCCGGTGTACAGCTTCCGGGTCATGTGGCCAGCAGGACTAAGCCGCTTCTGGCGAACCAGAGCAGCGCACGGAAATGCTGCTTACCTTCCCGCCGGAGCGGTACCTGTTTATCTACTTGCACTTTGAGGTGCTTTCGAACTGCTAGGTGGGCAGGAGCAGGGACAGAGCAACGGGAACAACAGGATTCGAACCGCCAACCTTCTGATCGGCAAGTCCTAGGCTCTGTGGTTTAACCCACAGCGCCACCCGCGTCCCTTGAATGAGGTAGATCGGCCTTTAAATATGAATTGAATCGAATCCCACCCTTTCCCCCACCATCCTCAGGGCCCTCACTTTAGATATTGGGGGATTGGCATCAGAGGGTTGTGGCCTCGCAAATCGCATTCTGTTCTATTAAAAAAGACGTCAATCTCCAAGACTCTTTTAATGACATTTTTGGGTCCTGACGTCCCAGAAAGAAATTACAGAGGAAGGTTTTGAGCATGTGTGTGGCTTTCTGGTCATATCCCAGTTACTCGCTGGTTCCTGGGACGGGCGCCCTAACCTCACAGCGTCATAGACTCTCGCCCTCATTATTTCGAAAATCTTTGGCCTTGCAATTTTTGCTAAATCGCAACAGAAGCCGGATCCGTTTGCTATAATCTTGCGGTGTTTGTGCTCAGGGAGAAGCCAGCTGCGAGAGAAGTTAAAACAAAATGGCAAGCGTCCTTCTGGAGAGCTAAAATTAGGGATCATACCAAATGTTACTGCTTGAAACCGCAGGGAGCGTGCCAGAAATACGCTGGAAGTTTGCTTGCAGACATTTTTTTGGTGTCAAAGACATTTGCAAAAATAATAGAGGGAGCAATCTTGATGAGCATCTGTGCCATGTTTTTCATGCTCATTTCATGCCGATTCGTGGCCAGTTGGGTCTCGTTTCTCCCTAATGTGCAGTGACGGCACATTGCGATGTTGCGGGTCAGATCTGGTCTTGAGACAGCATCCCTGAGGACCAAGTGAAGCTGATTTTATGTTATGTACTCAGTTTGGATCCTAGAGAATGCCTGAATGTCTGATGTAGATTTTCAGTTTCGTTGTTCTGTATGGGACAATGACAATAAAGATTATTGTATCGTAATGCATATCTAAGGGACGCGGGTGGCGCTGTGGGTTAAACCACAGAGCCTAGGACTTGCTGATCAGAAGGTTGGCGGTTCGAATCCCCGCAATGACGGCGTGAGCTCCCGTTGCTCGGTCCCTGCTCCTGCCAACCTAGCAGTTTGAAAGCACGTCAAAGTGCAAGTAGATCAATAGGTACCGCTCTGGCAGGAAGGTAAACGGCGTTTCCGTGCGCTGCTCTGGTTCACCAGAAGCGGCTTAGTCCTGCTGGCCACATGACCCAGAAGCTGTACGCCGGCTCCCTTGGCCAATAAAGCGAGATGAGTTTCCAACTCTATGTACTTTACAGGACCCCGACCTAGTAGCAAAACAGCTAAGTCTACATGCTTTCTCCACCTGTAGGTCCCCAGATGTTGTTGAACTACAACTCCCATCACCCCAGATAGCAAGGCCAGAGCTCAGGGATGATGGGAGTTGTAGTCCGACAACATCTGGGGATCCACAGGTTGAGAACCACTGAGCTAAGAGGATAGAGGGGAAGCTCTTCCATAGAGTCTGCATAAGCCAGGCTTCCTCAACCTCAGCCCTCCAGATGTTTCGAGACTACAATTCCCATCATCCCTGACCACTGGTCCTGCTAGCAAGGGATCATGGGAGTTGTAGGCCAAAAACATCTGGAGGGCCGAGGTTGAGGAAGCCTGGTGTAAGCCTTTCTCAACCTGTGGGTCCCCAGATGTTGTTGGACTACAACTCCCATCACCCCAGATAGCAAGGCCAGAGCTCAGGGATGATGGGAGTTGTAGTCCAACAACATCTGGGGACCCACAGGTTGAGAACCGATGGTTTTAGGCCAAGCTAGGTCCAGACCCTTGGACAGGGGCTGCAGAACTAGTTCAGAACCACGGACAGCAGTCCTGAAGCGGAGACAGGAGATTCAGGTTGTCTCAGCAAGGTATTGGGTGCAGCTTTGCAGCTGGAGGCAGAGACTGTGAGATGACCGCGGGGGCAACCCAGTCAGTTGGGTGGGGTACAATTAAAATAATAATAATACAGTGGTACCTTGGTTCTTAAACGCCTTGGTTCTCAAACTCTGAAAACTGGAAGTGTTCCGGTTCTCAAATATTTTTTTTGGAAGCTGAACGTCCGGCGCGGCTGTCGGCTATTGTTTCCAGGGCGCCTGCACCGATCAGAAGCCACGCCTTGGTTTTCAAACGTTTTGGAAGTCAAACAGACTTCCGGAGTGGATTAAATCTGGCGCTTTTGCTATTTATTTTGCGTTTTTGTTTTTGAGGCTTTTTCAGTTCATTTGTTTTTGTGGCTGTGTGGAACCCAGTTCAGCTACTGATTGATTGATTGATTGATTGATAGTGTGACTGTGGAAATGGATAAAAGCCCCCAGGGAAGAAAAAATAATAATTTTCATTTTTATCATCTACAATACTGCCTTATTTATTTTATAGCACAGTACATTGATGATTGCTTTCATTTTATGGATCAATGGTCTCGTTAGATCGTGAAATTCACGTTAAATTGCTGTTTTAGGGGTTGTTTTTAAAAGTCTGGAACAGATTGATCAATTTTGCATGACTTTCTATGGGAAAGCGTGCCTTGGTTTTGGAACGGACTTCCGGAACGGATTAAGTTTGAGAACCAAGGTACAGTCATACCTCTTCTTGCGAACGCTTCATGGTGCGTTTTTTCGGGTTAAGAATGCAGCAAACCCAGAAATGTTTACTTCTGGGTTTCGCCATGTGCGCACACTCAGAAGCGTTCTGCGCACTTCGCACATGCGCAGGAGCGCTCTATTGCACTTTGCACATGCGCAGAAGCGCCGCTTTGGTTACGGACTTTTAGGGGTGCAAACGACACCCTGGAACGGATTGTTTTCCACAACCAGAGGTACCACTGTACCACTCTAATGGTAATAATAATAAGGGCTGCATCGAGATTCTTTTACACGGTGTTTTACATGCATCTTGGTCGGTAGACAACAATTTGTGTAGCTATAAGACTTGGGGAACCCACAACTGCATGGTTGTGATGTGATTTTCCTCTCTCATCCTCTCCCCTGGTGGCAGACTCAGCTGATCAGCGACGCTTACAACCTGGTGATCGACGCCTTACTCGGAGTGGAGGCCACGCCAGGCGAGTTGCTGGAGCCGTTCAGTACGATCCTGGCCACCCTCAAGCAAATCCGGATCCCTCTCGTCAGCCTGGACGTCCCCTCTGGTATGCTTCCCCTGTTGAACAGCAGCCTGCTGGGTCGTGTGTGTCCCCGGCGAATCCCTGTTGAATTCCTATGATCCACGCAACGGTCACCTCCAGACTGGATTATTGTAACTCGCTCTACGTGGGGCTGCCCTTGAGACTGACCCAGAAACTCCAGCGGGTGCAGAATGCTGCGGTGAGACTCCTAATGGGGTCCTCGCTGCAAGATCACATTCACCCGGTGCTATACCAGACACACTGGCTCCCGGTGGAGTACAGGATCAGGTTTAAGGTGCTGGTTTTAACCTTTAAAGCCCTATACGGCCTAGGACCCTCGTACCTACGGGACCGCCTCTCCTGGTATGTCCCACGGAGGACCTTACAGTCTTCAAACAAAAACATCCTGAAGGTCCCAGCCCACAGAGAGGTTAGGCTGGCCTCAACCAGAGCCAGGGCTTTTTCGGCTGTGGCTCTGATCTGGTGGAACACTCTGTCACAAGAGACTAGGGCCCTGCGGGACTTGACATCTTTCCGCAGGGCCTGCAAGACAGAGCTGTTCCACCAAACCTTTGGTCAGGGCGCAGCCTGACTCCGTCCTTTGGCAATCCTCACAGAACTCTAGCCTAATGGTTGCCATCAATTTGATTTGAATTAATTTTCTAATGAATGATTTTAGAATGTTGTACTATTTTATGGTTGTTAGCCGCCCTGAACCCGGCTTTGGCTGGGGAGGGCGGGATATAAATAAAATTTATTATTATTATTATATTATTATTATTTTAAATAAAAGGACACATTCTACTCATGTAAAAACACGCTGATTCCCGGACCATCCGCGGGCCGGATTGAGAAGGCGATTGGGCCGGATCCGGCCCCCGAGCCTTAGTTTACCCACCTATGCCCTACGGGCTTAGCCTGACCCCTTGCCTCTCACGGTGGTCCGAGGAATTACGCCCCCCCTTCCGCCACCCTGCCCAGTTTCACCCCAGCGGCCTGGCACAAACAGCAGCTGTCTCCAGCAGCTCTTGGAAGCTCAAAAAAAGGTTGAGGCATCAGCTTCCCCAAACCGAGACATGAAGTCATAACCCAAATAGTCCCTTTTTTTTTTCTCTGTGTCTGGCTGGACAGCGGCGACTGGGTCTCTGCTTTCGCCATCAGAAAGAGCAAATGAAGAGAGGTGAATCTGAGAAATCTCTTCCTCCGTTCCCTCCTTTCTTTCTCAGCCGCTTTGCACCGTGACAGAGCAGAAAGGTTTTTTGGGAAATGGCATTTCCATCCCAGCTTTTCTTCTCCATTGGCTCAAAGAGGCTGGTTCTTTCCCGCTTCCTCAATTACCGTATTTTTCATCCCATAGGGCGCTCCGGCCCATAGGACACATCTAGTTTTTTGGGGGGGAAATAAAGGAAAAAAATTTTTCCTTTATTTCCCCCCCCAAACCAGGTCGGGGAACAGCGGGATGGCGTCGCTCCGCCTCCCCGCCGTCCCCCGAGCTTGTGGGCTGCAGGCAGCTGCCCGCATGCCTTGCGCGCCCGGGGGAACTCCCCCCGGGTGAGCAAGGCTTGCGGACACCTGCCCGAAGCACGGGGCGTCCTCCGGAGGGTGCCCCGTGCTCCGGGCTGCAGGCTGCCGCCCGCAAGCCTTGCGCGCCCGGGGGACCTCCTGCCGAGCTTGCAAGGCTTGCGGATAGCTTCCTGAAGCCTGGAGAGCGAGAGGGGTCGGTGCGCCCCGACCCCTCTCACTCTCCAGGCTTCAGCAAAAGCCTGCATTTGCTCCATAGGACGCACACACATTTCCCCTTCATTTTTGGAGGGGAAAAAGTGCGTCCTGTAGGGCGAAAAATATGGTAATCCCTGTAATAATAATTCAGCCAGAGAGAAGATGCTCTCTGATTCAACTGCTGTTGTTTGGAATATGCTTTTCCCTGGTTGTGTAAGGTTGTGTAAGCCTTCTCAGGGCTAATAATAATAATACAGTGGTACCTCGGGTTACATACGCTTCAGGTTACAGACTCCACTAACCCAGAAATAGTGCTTCAGGTTAAGAACTCTGCTTCAGGATGAGAACAGAAATTGTGCAGCAGTGGCAGGAGGCCCCATTGACTAAAGTGCTGCTTCAGGTTAAGAACAGTTTCAGGTTAAGAACGGACCTCCGGAATGAATTAAGTACTTAACCCGAGGTACCACTGTGATAATAATTTATTACTTATACTCCGCCCATCTGGCCAGGCCTCCCCAGCCACTCTGGGCAGTTTCCAACACTACATAAAAAGGTAAAGGGACCCCTGACCATTAGGTCCAGTTGTGACCGACTCTGGGGTTGCGGCGCTCATCTCGCTTTACTGGCCGAGGGAGCCGGCGTACAGCTTCCGGGTCATGTGGCCAGCAGGACTAAGCCGCTTCTGGCGAACCAGAGCAGCGCACGGAAACGCCGTTTACCTTCCCGCCAGAGTGGTACCTATTTATCTACTAGCACTTTTGATGTGCTTTTGAACTGCCAGGTTGGCAGGAGCAGGGACCGAGCAACAGGAGCTCACCCCGTCATTGCGGGGATTCGAACCGCCGACCTTCTGATCGGCAAGCCCTAGGCTCTGTGGTTTAACCCACAGAATATTAAAAACACGATAAAACGTCAAACATTAAAAACTTCCCTGAACAGGGCTGCCTTCAGATGTCTTCTAAAAGTCAGAGAGTTGTTTATTTCCTTGACATCTGAAGGGAGGGCGTTCCACAGGGCAGGCGCCACCACCGAGAAGGCCCTCTGCCTGGTTCCCTGTAACCTCACTTCTCGCAATGAGGGAACCGCCAGAAGGCCCTCGGCGCTGGATCTCAGTGTCCGGGCTGGAGGATGGGGGTGGAGACGCTCCTTCAGGTATACAGGACTGAGGCCGTTTGAATTTTTTTTATAAACCATCCCACATTCAGTATCCTGAGCTCAGTAGAACCTCCATGCCCAAGAGCAGTCTACCCTCTAACGCCACGAACAGAGAACAGGGAAGGTAGAGAGATAAGGGGTGACCTCTGTGGGCTTTAGATGCTTCGATCCAGGAAGACGCTTCTGACTCTCTCTGTCCTTTCTCTTCCCTGTCCAAACCCCCTTTCTTTTCAGGCTGGGATGTGGAGACGGGCACCTCCGACGGCATCAGTCCCGACGTCCTCGTCTCCCTTGCCGCCCCCAAACAGTGCGCCACCCGTTTTGTGGGCAAGCACCACCTTGTAGCCGGCCGCTTCCTCCCTTACGACGTGCAGAAAAAGTTTGAACTGAATTTCCCCGAATACCCCGGCACAGACGACGTGGTTTCTCTTTAAGGAAAGAGCCGCGCCAGAGGGGCCTTGGAGTTCCTTTCCCACATCGCGCCCCGCCAAAAGAGCCCCATTTGCTTCTCCCAAGCGGCAAGAGGTTGGGCGAAGAACCCGAGAACCGGCGAATTCTGCGCCTAGACTTCTGGAAATGGAGAGACCGTAGCTTGTGGGGCAGGCGAGACGTGGGGGCTATAGGGTGGCGTTTGAGCCTAGGCCACCGATTCTGCCTGCTCCCGATCTGAAAAGAAGCCTTCCCCGTTCCTCTTTAGGTCAAAGGATGGGGAATACAGTGGTACCTTGCTTCTCAAACTTAATTCGCTCTGGATATTCCGTTCCAAAACCAAAGCGTTCCAAAACCAAGGTGCGCTGCTTTCCGATAAAAAGTAATACAGAACGGATTAATCCATTCTGATATATATATATATATATATATATATATATATATACACACACACACACACACACACACACATACATACATACAGTGGTACCTCGGGTTACATACACTTCAGGTTACAGACTCCTCTAACCCAGAAATAGTACCTCGGGTTAAGAACTTTGCTTCAGGATGAGAACAGAAATTGTGCAGCGGTGGCAGGAGGCCCCATTGACTAAAGTGGTGCTTCAGGTTAAGAACAGTTTCAGGTTAAGTATGGACCTCCGGAACGAATTAAGTACTTAACCCGAGGTACCACTGTAATAATAATTTATTAAGTTAAGAACTTTGCTTCAGGATAAGGACAGAAATTGTGCTCCGGCGACGCAGCAGCAGCAGCAGGAGGCCCCATTAGCTAAAGTGGTGCTTCAGGTTAAGAACAGTTTCAGGTTAAGAACGGACCTTCGTGGCAATTGAGCACCACGCAGCAGCAGGAGGCCCCATTAGCTAAAGTGGTGCTTCAGGTTAAGAACAGTTTCAGGTTAAGAACAGAGCTTCAGAACGAATTAAGTACTTAACCCGAGGTACCACTGTACATAGGTACAGTCATACCTCGGGTTGAATGAGCTTCAGGTTAAGCATTTTCGGGTTGTGCTCCCCCCAAAAAGAGCCCCATTTGCTTCTCCCAAACGGTGAGAGGTTGGGCGGAGAACCCGAGGGCCGACGAATTCTGCGCCTAGACTTCTGGAAATGTACACGCCGTAGCTTGTGGGGCAGGCGAGACGTGGGGGCTATAGGGTGCCGTTTCCACCCAATCTGGAAGGCTACAGAGTCTGCCTGCTCCCAATCTGAAAAGAAGCCTTCCCAGCTGCACACAAGGAAGAGGTATTTCCTCCCGGAAGAGAATCCCTATTCTTTAGGTCAGGGATGGGGAAGAATAATAATAATAATACAGTGGTACCTTGGTTCTCAAACTTAACCCGTTCCCGATATTCCGTTCCAAAACCAAAGCGTTCCAAAACCAAGGCGCGCTGCTTTCCCATAGAAAGTAATACAGAATGGATTAATCCATTCTGGATGAGATATATATATATATATATATATATATATTATACCGTATTTTTCGCTCTATAAGACGCACCAGACCATAAGACGCACTTAGTTTTTGGAGAAGGAAAACAAGGGGAAAAAAAATTCTGAATCCCAGAAGCCAGAACAGCAAGAGGGAACGCGGCGCAGTGAAAGCAGCAATCCTCTTGCTGTTCTGGCTTCTGGGATAGCTGCGCAGCCTGCATTCGCTCCATAAGACGCACACACATTTCCCCTTATTTTTAGGAGGGAAAAAGTGAGTCCTATAGAGCAAAAAATACGGTGTGTGTATATAGATATAGATATAGATATAGATATAGATATACAGTGGTGCCCGCAAGACGAATGCCTCGCAAGACGGAAAACCCGCTAGACGAAAGGGTTTTCCGTTTTTGAGTTGCTTCGCAGGACGAATTTCCCTATGGGCTTGCTTCGCAAGACGAAAATGTCTTGCGAGTCTTGAGATTTTTTTTCCGCTTCCCCCCCCTTTTTCTAATCCGCTAAGCCTTTAATAGCCTTTTAATAGCCTTTTAGCAGCTAATCCGCTAAGCCTTTAGCCTTTAATAGCCGCTAAACCGCTAATAGCGCTAATCCGTTAAGCCGCTAATAGGGTTGCTTCGCAAGACGAAAAAACCGCTAGACGAAGACTCTCGCAGAACGGATTAATTTCGTCTTGCGAGGCACCACTGTATATATATATATATATATATATATATACACACACACACACATATATATATATATATATATATATACACACATACATATATATACACACACACAGTGGTACCCCGGGTTATGTACTTAATTCATTCCGGAGGTCCGTACTTAACCTGAAACTGTTCTTAACCTGAAGCACCACTTTAGCTAATGGGGCCTCCTGCTGCTGCTGTGCCGCCAGAGCACGATTTCTGTTCTCATCCTGAAGCAAAGTTCTTAACCCGAGGTACTATTTCTGGGTTAGCGGAGTCTGTAACCTGAAGCGTATGTAACCTGAAGCGTACGTAACCCGAGTTAACTGTGTGTGTGTGTGTGTGTGTAATATATAATTTTTTACCAGCAACCAAAATACAAACAGTGAAACTCTCCAGGCGGCTGATACATTGGGTATACATAATCAATAATAACATATTCAAATCAACCATACGTACAATTCTATATACCTTAACACTCCTCCCTCCACAAGGTTTATTTAACTTTTAACATTTTAACTGCCCCAAATTGTTCAAAGCTACCCAAATAATCCAGTACCTTCTCAAACCAATCCTGACCTTAAACCCTTTCATTCTGTGCACCTTCGCGCTTAGATATAATATTATTATTCAGTTTTTTCCTACATTGGTTCACCCCTAGCTTTTCTGCATTTTTCCAATTACTCGCTATAACCTGTCCGGCTGCAATTACCATGTAAATTACCCATTTACATTCCTCTTTTGTTTTTAACACCGAATTCTGGACGGTTAAAAACATTAAAACGATTAAAAGTCCGTCCGACTTCCGAAACCGTTCGGAAACCAAGGCGAGCGGCTTCCAATGGCCTGCACTCAAGCAGAAGCCGCGTCGGACATTCGGCTCCCAAAAAACGTCCGCAAACCGGAGCGCTCACGTCCGGGTTTGCGACGTCGGGGAGCCGATTTGTTCGACAACGTTTGAGAACCAAGGTACCACTTTATCTGCAACTCTGAATATCATTGAATGAGCTGCCTCTAGCTAGTAGATCAACTTCCTCCTGGGAGTGCGGAAATGCCTCTTCCAAAAATTGGCTGCAGCTTCCACCGGCCCCGGAAACCAGTACAACCAATGGGCAGGGACGATGGGAGTTGTAGTTTTGCAGCGACACAGATGCTCTCAACCCCTAATTGAAGAATCAGCATTCGCTGCTGTGTGGAAGAGAATGCCTCTTCCCGGGTCAGCGATACGTAACAAAACACCATATTTTTTGCTCTGTAAGACTCACTTTTTCCCTCCTAAAAAGGGGAAATGTGTGTGCGTCTTATGGAGCGAATGCAGGCTGCGCAGCTATCCCAGAAGCCAGAACAGCAAGAGGGATTGCTGCTTTCGCTGCACAGCGATCCCTCTTGCTGTTCTGGCTTCTGAGATTCAGAATATTTTTTTTCTTGTTTTCCTCCTCCAAAAACTAGGTGCGTCTTGTGGTCTGGTGCGTCTTATAGAGCGAAAAATACGGTAGATCCCCTGCGTTGCAAGCACAGGCAAACTTAAACAATAACAGGCAACGTGTGGCTAATTGTGTTCCGACAACACATACATATCCTGTATTATCTCACAGTTCTTGAATAGAGGGCATATGGTGGAGATACAACTAATAAAATAAATCAATACCGTGTGAACAAAATTAGGGAAGGTAGTCAATTCAATATCACCGAGGCAAACAAGCCTTTCAATCGTCCCGCACCTGCAATCATGCGATAACAGAAGCTCAAATTGTAGTAATTCTTAAGCAGAGAATATGTAATAGAATAGGGACGCGGGTGGCGCTGTGGGTTAAACCACAGAGCCTAGGACTTGCCGATCAGAAGGTCGGTGGTTTGAATCCCCGCAATGACGGGGTGAGCTCCCGTTGCACGGTCCCTGCTCTTGCCAACCTAGCAGTTCGAAAGCACGTCAAAGTGCAAGGAGATAAATAGGTACCGCTCCGGCGGGAAGGTCAACGGTGTTTCCGTGCGCTGCTCTGGTTCGCCAGAAGCGGCTTAGTCCTGCTGGCCACATGACCCGGAAGGTGAACGCCGGCTCCCTTGGCCAGTAAAGCGAGATGAGCGCCGCAACCCCAGAGTCGAACCGCTGACCTTCTGATCGGCAAGTCCTAGGCTCTGTGGTTTAACCCACAGTGCCACCTGCGTCCCTATTATATATATGTTAGTGGAACATTATTAGCCACGTAATGCCTGTCATTGTTTAAGTCCTCCCTGGTTGGGGTCTCTATATAAAATAAATATTCACTCTTCAGAGCGGGAGCTTCCTCTTTGCCAATCAGGGATGGCCCTCCAGACGCCGTTGGGAATTGTAGTTTAGCCGCACCCGGTGGGCGCCGCTTGGGTATCTCTGCCTTAGCTGAAGTCTTTCTTCTTCTTTTTAGCTCCGCTTAATATATTGTATGACCTTAGAAAAAAGCCACTTGGGACTGGAGGGGTCACTCAATCTACCCAGATCCGCTTCGGGGCACTGCCAGTAATGTAAATTATGATTCGTGCGCAAAATGCTTTTTAAAACATTAAAAAAGAAATGCCAACCGAGGTTTTGTACTAGGCCAAAAGCGGAGGTTTGTGCTGTGTCTGTTTTCATTTTTATCGCTCCTTTCCAAATATTTTCCCTCCGCCACAACTAGAAATTCTTTTTCTTCCCTTCATTGCTAGATTAGACTACAGTTCCATGGTCCAAAGAACGACGTGTGTGTTTTTGTGTCCGTAAAAGATACGCAGCGATTTGCTGATAATCGGTTCTTGATTTGGGGGGGTACGGACAGAGGTTTCTTTCATAGGCTTTTTAAGTTGTGTTTCTCTTAACTGCCCCGGGACCTTTGGGTAAGAAATAATAAAATAATTCTGGGCTATATTCAATCAAGTTCTAACTCAGAGTAGGCCCACTGAAATGAGGGCATCGGAGACAGTCAGCGGGTCTCCGATGGGGCAGGGAACCGATGAACGGCAAATCCACCTTGTGCACGGATTTCCGAAACGATTCACGAAGGTTTGCTTTTGAAATTTTGCAAGGCTGTTCTCTGGCCACATTTGAGGCGTACGGAGGCAAGGGGAAACTGTGTGTCAAAACATGAGGGGGAAAATAACATAAGGAGGCATGATATTAGGGCACGTGGCTTTGCCAGGAATGTGTGCGTCGCATGCCCAAATGTGCCGTTTTAGGAGGGAATCACAAGTCGTGGGCCCCGCCTGCTCCCTAAAATATCACGTGTTTGCTCCTTTCTATATTGTTGTTGTTTAGTTGCTTAGTCGTGTCTGCCTCTTTGTGACCCCCTGGACCAGAGCACGCCAGGCACTCCTGTCTTCCACTGCCTCCCGCAGTTTGGTCAAACTCATGCTGGTCGCTTTGAGAACACTGTCCCACCATCTCGTCCTCCATCGTCCCCTTCTCCTTGCGCCCTCCATCTTTCCCAACATCAGGGTCTTTTCCAGGGAGTCTTCTCTTCTCCTGAGGTGGCCAAAGTCTTGGAGCCTCAGCTTCAGGATCTGTCCTTCCAGTGAGCACTCAGGGCTGATTTCCTTCCGAATGGAGAGGTTGGATCTTCTTGCAGTCCATGGGACTCTCCAGAGTCTCCTCCAGCACCAGAATTCAAAAGCATCCATTCTTCGGTGATCAGCCTTCTTGATGGTCCAGCTCTCACTTCCATACATCACTACTGGGAAAACCAGAGCTTGAACTATACGGACCATTGTCGGCAAGGTGATGTCTCTGCTTTTTAAGATGCTTTTCTATATATAGGGTGCCTAGATTCTGCATGGACTGGTTGCACAGCAACATGGGCAAAATACCTTCAGATACCTATTAGGTCCATCAGTTGCCATGTAGCTTTTAGTAAAGGTAAGGGGACTCCTGACCATTAGGTCCAGTGTGGCCGACTCTGGGGTTGCAGCGCTCATCTCGCTTTATTGGCCGAGGGAGCCGGCGTACAGCTTCCGGGTCATGTGGCCAGCAGGACTAAGCCGCTTCTGGCGAACCAGAGCAGTGCACAGAAACACTGTTTACCTTCCCGCTGGAGTGGTACCTATTTATCTACTTGCACTTTGACATGCTTTCGAACTGCTAGGTTGGCAGGAGCAGGGACCGAGCAACAGGAGCTCACCCTGTCGCGGGGATTCGAACCGCCGACCTTCTGATCGACAAGCCCTAGGCTCTGTGGTTTAACCCACAGCGCCACCCGCATCCCAATGTTGCTTTTATTCAACACCAAAAAACAGCAATAATTTGTTCTTGACAAAGGACAGCTCGACATATAAAGGGCCCCATGACCTTCAGTAGCTGAAGGCCTCATCAAACCGAAATCCGGCCCTGGCCTGGGGTGGTTGGTTTGGGGCAGGTTCGGGATTTGACTCGGACCAGCCTCTGCGCACCACAGCTAAACAAAACACCAGACGACCGTCCCCTTTGTGGTTCGAAAATGGTTTGTGTTGACCTAATCCCCTTTCCTGCTGAATCTGTGAATAAAACCGGCCGCCGGCGGATGACCGGGGCAGCGGAAAGGGGGCGACTGGGCAGCTGTGGAGCTCGTGGATGTGTGTGTGTCGCAGAATGTAGGTAAGAAAAATGCCCCGGGTTGCTTTGCAAGCTTCCGGAAATTGCCCTCGTGCCTGCAAACACACACACACACACACACACACACACACACACACACAAACACGGCAAACTTTTTAGCTTTCTATTTTGTTGGGCGGAGGGAGACGAATACCATTTGTTTGTTTTCCAAGTGCAATCTTTATCGGTTTAAAATCAACCTATATACACACACAAAGAAAACTTAGGGAAAGAAAAAGAGAGAGGGGATGGGAAGGGGAAACAGAACGAAAGAAAAACAGCACATCTCTTGCAAACAAAAAGAAAACAGCACATCACGAATACACAAAAATATCATAGCCATCAACTTCTGAGTTTCTGGATATGGGTTTTTTGTTTCCTTAATTGCTTGCCTCCATTTATCAATGGGAGATAAATGTCTCAGGTGGCTGGTGCTTGGGGGGCAAGCCCCACCCCACCCCACCCCAGTTTTGTAGGGCAGAGTCCCTGGTCAGGACCACAGTTCCCAGAATTCCCTGGGAAAGAGGGGCTGGCTGTTAAACCAAACTGGGGATCGGGGGATAACTTCAAACTCCAGTTCCCAGGAATCTCTAGGGGAAACCGTGACTGTTTAAGGCATGGGTAGGCAAACTAAAAGGGGCATGGGTGGCGCTCTGGGTTAAACCACGGAGCCTAGGACTTGCCGATCAGAAGGTCAGCGGTTCGAATCCCCGCAACGGGGTGAGCTCCCGTTGCTCGGTCCCTGCTCCTGCCCACCTAGCACTTCGAAAGCACGCCAGGGCAAGTAGATAAATAGGTACCGCTCTGGCGGGAAGGTAAACGGCGTTTCCGTGCGCTGCTCTGGTTCGCCAGAAACAGCTTCGTCCTGCTGGCCACATGACCCGGAAGCTGTACGCCGGCTCCCTTGGCCAGTAAAGCGAGACGAGCGCCGCAACCCCAGAGTCGGCCGTGACTGGATCTAATGATCAGGGGTCCCTTTACCTGGTTTAGCTGCCCTCACCTGGTTTAGCTAGCCAGTCAAAGCCGTTCCCAGGTGTGGCCGCTGTCTCACGCTGACGGCTTCTAGGAGCCGCAGGTGAGAGAAGAGTTCAGGTTAGGGGCCAAAGGTGGAGAAATTGACCCTAGAAGGAGCAGAGATACTGCCCCTCCCCTAACACCCTATATAAATGTGTGGGACTGCCTTTGAAGGTGACCTGGAAACTACAACTAATCCAGAATGCGGCAGCTAGACTGGGGACTGGGAGCGGCCGCCGAGACCATATAACACCAGTCCTGAAAGGCCTACATTGGCTCCCAGGATGTTTCCGAGCACAATTCAAAGTGTTGGTGCTGACCTTGAAAGCCCTAAACGGCCCAGTAACCCTGAAGGAGCATCTCCACCCCCATTGTCCAGCCCGGACACTGAGGTCCATCTCCCGAGGGCCTTCTGGTGGTTCCCTCCCTGAGAAAAGTGAAGTTACAGGGAACCATGCAGAGGGCCTTCTCAGTGGTGGCGCCCGCCCTGTGGAACACCCTCCCACCAGATGTCAAGGAAATAAACAACTACCTGACTTTTAGAAGACATCTGAAGGCAGCCCTGTTCAGGGAAGCTTTTAACATTTGACGTTTTATCATGTTTTTAATATTCTGTTGGGAGCCACCCAGAGCGGCTGGGGAAACCCGGCCGGATCGGCGGCGTATAAATAATAAATCGTTATAATATTATTGTGATAATAATCGCACAGCCTTTCCGACGAGGCTCCATTGCAGATTTCTTAGGAAGGCGTTCCATGGCTGGCTGCAAAGAATCGTAATAAAAACCCGACCCGAGTCAAAAACAGTGGTCTGTAATAAACAGTGACGCACCGCTGGCTTCAAAAGAACACATCTATAATGAAACCTCTGGAACGAGGACCACATGAGCTCATTTCTGGTTTTACTGCCTCTTCTCATTCTTCCCAAATTCCGTCCAATTTTAGCAGCCTAAACCAGCAAAGGCTACCGTGGAAGGCTTCCCAAAACCAACAACAATAAAATAAAATATTTTTGTATTTTTTTGAAAGAAAGAAAGCTCTCCTGATAATCTTCCAGCTCTGCCCGACTTGACCAGATTCCCCCGTTTCTCTTATTTCCCTCGGTCAAGACTTCGCTGTCCAAAAAGGTCCCTCAGCCAACAGGAGCGAGAGAAACAGCCTCCTATAAAGACCTGCTTTTTCCAATGCAGCTCCAGTTTCAAAGAGACCTGCGAGAAGGGACGACACCGGACCCCTGAGTCTCCTGTGTGTCCGAACCTGGGAGGAGGAGAAAAAAGAAGAAAGAAAGCGTGCGAGGAATTCGAACCCGAGGCCGGAGAGATGGAGGGCCGGAAGGTGGAGGTTTTCCTCTGCTTGGTGCTTTTCGGCTGCGTGGCGGCTCAAGGTAAACGCCTTTTTTTTCCTCCCAGTTTCCGGCCGTCGAATCGCAGGGCCACCCCAGAGGACATCTAGCCTGACCCCCCCCTTTCGGAGCAGGAATGAGGTGGCGAGGGGGCAGAAAATAGGGGCAGATGTGACCGGTTCACAGAGCCACAAATACGAAAAGTCCCTCCAAATCTGCCCCACTTTGAATACCAGGATGATTCCTATAATTGGATGGTTTGACACATGGAAAAGAGATTTATTCAAATTTATATGGCAGGGTAAGAGGTCCCATATTAAATATAAGTTGACCGCCGACCTTCTGATCAGCAAGTCCGAGGCTCTGTGGTTTAACCCACAGCGCCACCCGCATCCCCTATATAAATATATAAATTCATATAAATATAAATATGTTACTTCCTGATAAAAGAGAAAGGGGGGGATTTAGTCTCCAGGATCTAAAATTATATTATGAGGCACCCCCCCAAAAAATAGAAATGCGATCTAGGAAATTCCCTCTTTTAGTTTATTTTTTTGGGGGGTGCACTCCTGCGGGGAGGGAGAAGAGTATATTTTTTGCGAAAACGGCTGTGCATTTGGGTTACAGCCCATTCAATCCTACCTGTTGAAATCCGCAGGTTTCAGTTGACGGTGTCTGTTCTTTCCAATGGGTCTACTCTGAGTAGGGCTAGCGCTCGATTCGGCTCCTTATAATGGGGAGGGGGAATTCTTTGCGGAAATTTTATTTCCCCCTTGTGCAAAATTGCTTGGAGAACTTGTGTGTGTCTTTTTGGGGGGGTGTCGTGTGCGAATTTTGTGCGATTCGAGAGGGTGGGAGTCACACCTTCGTGGGGAGACAAAGCAAACTGAAGCTTTAAGACCTGACAAGGGGGATTAATAATAATAATAATAATAATATTCTGCTCCCGACAGAATATTAAAAGCTCGATAGAACATCAAACGTTAAAAACTTCCTGAAACAAATCCAGAAAAGACTGGATTTGAATCAGACTTTGGGGAGGAAAATTTCCATACAAAGGGGGGCAGATTATTTTCGTGCCCTCCCCTCCGAACCCCAACAGCTACACACAAAAATTCACACAAAAATTCACCGACAACAGGGACCAAAATACTAAGGGAAATGTGTGAATGTTGTGTCTGAGCTGTGAAATCTCTCCCTGAAATTCAAGGAAGCGAAGACTTTTTCTTTTTCTTTTAGAACCTACCTTCTTTCTGCGGTAATAAGCTGTGGTGAACTTTTTACACCCTACGCCCTTTTAAAATGTGTGTTTTTTGTGGGGGGGGGGCGGGCTATTGGGTTGTTGTTGTTGTTTAATTCTTATTATGTATTTTGTGGGGGGTTTTTATATCTTGATTTTGTTCTGTGAACCCCCTGAGGACCACCCCCCCCAGGTATAGGGCAGTATATAAATTTAATAAGTAATAATCTATATATCTATATCTCTATCTCTATCTCTATCTCTATCTATATCTATATCTATCTATATCTATCTATCATCTATCATTTATATCTATCTCTATCTCTCTATCTCTCTATATCTATCTATCTATCTATCAATCATCTATCTATCTATCTATCTATCTATCATCTATCTATCTATCTATCTATCTATCTATCTATCTATCATCTATCTCTATCTATCTAATCTATCTATCATCTATCTCTATCTCTATCTATCATCTATCTATCTCTCTATCATCTATCTCTTTATCTATCATCTATCTCTATCTATCATCTATCTCTATCTCTATCATCTCTTTCTCTCTCTCTCTCTCTCTATCTCTATCTCTCTATCTGTCTATCATCTATCTATCATCTATCTATCTATCTATCTATCTATCTATCTATGTCATTACACACACACATTGTGTTTAATTGCTGTATAACCTGCCCTGGGACCTTAGGGCGAAGGGCAGGGAATTATCACAGAACTTTATCATACCATCGTTGAGTTGCGTCGCATTCAGGATTCGAACCTGCAACCTTGGCATTCACCATGCCTTAACCCACTGTTTCTCGGCCTTTTCGTGGCCCCCTTTCCGATCTCATTTCCTCCTCTCCCCCCCCCCCCGGTCCTACCAGCAGAAAGCTAGCTGTTTTGCTTGTAAATAGAAGCTTTATAATTTCATATAATCATATAGTCATATAATTTCGCCTGCGGCCCCCGTGGAATATCTGGGTGTCTGCGGGGGGCCATATGGCTGAGAAACACTGCTCTAACCAACTCAGACTAGATCCGAATGCTAAAAGAGACCCAAGGTATCATTTATTCTAACCCCCTGCAGAATAATAATAATAATAATAATAATAATAATAATAATAAATGAATAAATTGCGGGGGGGGGGGGAGTTTCCTGCCTCCCCATAATACTGGGGTCATGTGATGAAATCCTCAGGTAATAGATTCATCCCGGACTGATGGAAGGACTTTGTGGATCGGCGGAACTCCTTGCCACTGGAAGTGACGATGAGAGCCTTCAACGCAGCCGGCTCTTTTTAAAAAAGGGTTTAAATCATAGAATAGAATAGTTGGAAGGGAGCGCGAGGGTCATTTAAACCAATCCCCTGCAAAGCAGGGATCTCTTGCCCAAAGTGGGGCTGATTCGAATCCGCAACCCTGAGATTAAGAGTCTCACGCCCTCTACTTTGCAGGGAGGGGAAATGGGTCCGTTTGCATATTTGCTCCCGGCGCAAATCTCAGTCACGAAGAGAGCTTCAGATGGTGGGGTTTGCCTTCAAAGTTTAAATCGGTATTTCCGTTCCAATATCAGTGCAATTTCTGAGTCTGGTCAATGCCCAGTACAGGAATTATTCTGAATTATTCCTTCCGTCTCCTCTGGGAATATAGAAGAGGAGAAGAATCTTGATTTGCATCAGCAACTAGCCAACGAAATAAAACGTACTGAAGATGGAGATAAAAAACTATAGAAAACACATTTTTGGGGAGGCGTGTTTTGCATCTATAACCAAATAATATATCTTATTCTAATCGCCCCTGCTAAAAACCTTGCAGTTTTTGCTGTCGCCTGATCATGTTGATCTGCTAAAAGAAAAGACCCAGTGCAGGATATATATTCCACCTCTTTTTTCTAGCTTTCCAAAAACATGCAGTCGAAAACATCCTGGGGCAAAACAGAAAAAATGGGAAGAATTTAATACATACTACTGTTCTTTACTGCCATCACAGACCATCCCAGTGTCCTGATTTTCCAGGGACAATCCCACATTTATAGAAGTTTCTGATTTGATCCCAGTCAGATGGGTGGGGTAATAATAATAATAATAATAATAATAATAATAATAATAATATTTCCCCACATACAGCTTCAATAGATGTCCACTAACTCAGATGTTAGGAGGGAGGGAGAAAATTTTTTCTCTGACCATTAATAATAATAATAATAATAATAATAATTTATACCCCACCCATCTGGCTGGGTCTCCCCAGCCACTCTGGGCAGCTTACACCACATGTGAAAACTCAGCAAAACTCAGTTTGAGTACCAAGGCGTTGGGGAACCAAGGTATCACTGTATTCTCAAACGGGAACGACGAAAACATACATAATCGTGGGCGCAAGCCTTGCACTTCCACAGGTCTCTTTGAACGGGCTGTTGCACCTTTTCCAACAGATCCACCGGCGAAGAACCAATCGCGCCCAGCCAAGGAACAGAAGAAGAGAGAGAGCGCCCGTTCAAGTTTCGACGCGGGAATGGTTGGTAGGTCATTTTGTCCTGGAAATACTGATTTATCTACGAGGGTTTGGGGGGGGGGGGGAAGGCCGGAGAAGATTTTGCAAGAAACGAGCAGATCGTTCTGTCTCGCCGTTGCACCCGATTCCTCCTTAAAGGGGTAAAGGGACCCCTGACCATTAGGTCCAGTCGTGACCGACTCTGGGGTTGCGGCGCTCATCTCGCTTTATTGGCCGAGGGAGCCGGCGTACAGCTTCTGGGTCATGTGGCCAGCAGGACTAAGCCGCTTCTGGCGAACCAGAGCAGCGCACAGAAACGCCGTTTACCTTCCTGCCGGAGCGGTACCTATTTATCTACTTGCACTTTGACTGCTAGGTTGGCAGGAGCAGGGACCGAGCAACGGGAGCTCACCCCGTCGCGGGGATTCGAACCACCGACCTTCTGATCAGCAAGTCCTAGGCTCTGTGGTTTAACCCACAGCGCCACCCGCGTCCTTAAATTTGGTTTAATCTGATGCATTTTCCAGCTCACTTCCCACTGCTACAGTTGCCCCAGGATGCCCGTTCCACATTTCTCAGAACCTAGACATCGGAACTACCTGCCTCTTGACGTCAGGCGGATGACTTCGCTGTCTCCTTTCTCGGTGCCTGCTAAAAACCTTGCGGTTTAGACAAGCCTACCCAGATACTTAGGAAGCTGGCGAAAATGACTAAAATGTATAGAGCAATTTCGATAAGTGTTGGAAGTGTAAAGAGAAGGAAGGTACTTTTTATCCTCTATGGTGGAATTGTAAAGTACCGTATTTTTCGCTCCATAAGACACACCTGCCCATAAGACACACCTAGTTTTTAGAGGAAAACAAGAAGAAAAAAAAATTCTGAACGAAACAGTGGATGTATGATTTTTGTGGTTCATGCTGTGGTCACAGACATGTGATCTGATGGTGAATATGGGGTAACCCAATGCAAAAATCCTGAGGATCCATGTGGATCTGTGCTTTGTAACCACGTTTTTGCACCATTGCAGCCCCAGGAAACAGCGGATTCGTGTTTTTTTGGTTCAGGCTGTAGCCGTGGACATGCTATGTGATCTGGTGGTGAATTTCGGGTGAATTTGGGTGACCCAATGTAAAAATCCTGAGGATCCATGGGCTTTTACCTCCCCCCTCCCAGGCAGCCTCCTTTACCTCTAGCATCCCTTATCTCGCTCCCGATTGCTTGCCGATCAGCTGCTCAGCGGCTTTGTTTCAATTTCCCTCTTTCAAAAGCATGATCTGCTTTTCGCCCCTGGGCAATTCGGGTCCAGGAACCACGCATTCGCTCCGTAAGATGCACAGACATTTCCCCTTACTTTTTAGTAAGAAAAAAGTGTGTCTTATGTTTTTTTTAAAAAAATAATTTTTATTAAGTTTCACATTTCACAACAAAAGAAAAACGGGGGGGGGGGACAAAAAGAAAAAAGACAAGATCACAAATATAAACAAAAAAGAGAGTAGAAACAAAATACTGGTAAACACCTAAACAACACAAATTAATTAATTATTTAAACTTCTAACCTCATAAACATATTTTGGGCTTCCTCTGGACCCTCCCATCTGAATTTCCTTGTAATTAAAATGTAGCAGTTTTCTAATATCATTTTTTTTAAAAAAACAACAACAACACAATATTCCAATTAAAATAAAATTTCTTAACTTTCCTTAAAGTTCTAAATCTTATTTATTTAATTAACTCTTAATTTAATCCTAGGCCTATTTTGGTACTTTCAAGTAATTTCTAATTTTTAATATCACAGTATTTATTCAAATAGTCCTTCAATTTCTTCCACTCTTCTTGTTACCGTATTTTTTTGCCCTATAGGACGCACTTTTCCCCCTCCAAAAATGAAGGGGAAATGTGTGTGCGTCCTATGGGGCGAATGCAGGCTTTCGCTGAAGCCTGGAGAGCGAGAGGGGTTGGTGCGCACCGACCCCTCTCGCTCTCCAGGCTTCAGGAGAGCCCCAGTGCCAGCCCCACAAGCTCCGGGGACAGCTGGGAGGCGGAACGCCGCCATCCCGCTGTCTCCTGATGTGGTTTGGAGGCTGACGGCGGGGAGACGCGTGCTTCTCCCCGCTGCCAGCCCCACAAGCTCCGGGGACAGCTGGGAGGCGCAGCGCGTCTTCCCGCTGTCCCCGGACCTGATCTGAATGCGGGCGGCGGGGAGAAGAGCGCTTCTCCCCGCTGCCGGCCCCACAAGCGCCGGGGGGGGGGGGGAATAATTTTTTCCCCTTTATTTCCCCTCCAAAAAACTTAGAATCATAGAATCCTAGAGTTGGAAGAGACCACAAGGGCCACCGAGTCCAACCCCCTGCCAAGCAGGAAACACCATCAGAGCACTCCTGACATATGGTTGTCAAGCCTCTGCTTAAAGACCTCCAAAGAAGGAGACTCCACCACACTCCTTGGCAGCAAATTCCACTGTCGAACAGCTCTTACTGTCAGGAAGTTCTTCCTAATGTTTAGGTGGAATCTTCTTTCTTGTAGTTTGGATCCATTGCTCCGTGTCCGCTTCTCTGGTGCGTCCTATGGGCCGGTGCGTCCTATGGGGCGAAAAATACGGTATTCCTCTTCTTTTCGGCCGCGGATTCTTCCAGTAAGGTCAGCCAGCTCCGTATATTCCATCATTTTCATCTGCCATTCTTCCACCGTTGGTAGTTCTTGTGTTTTCCATTTCTTGGCGATTAAAATTCGAGCAGCAGTTGCGCGTCTTACGGAGCGAAAAATGCGGTAGTTAAAAATGATCGGGAAAGGATATGGGTTGCATTCTGCTCACGTTGCGAACGGGCCTCTGGAACGGATCCCGTTCACAACCAGAGGTATCACTGGGGGGGGGGAGATGGAGGAGGTCCCCCAGTTCAGAAGTGGAGGCACCGGCCTCTGCTAAACCCCAGCTCTCCTTTGCAGGAGAATGGACCTCGTGGTTCAACGTGGACCACCCGGGAGGCGAAGGCGATTTTGAGACCCTTGAAGCCATCCGCTTCTATTACCCGGATCGCGTCTGCGCCCAGCCCTCCGCCATCCAAGCCCGGACCACCGAATGGGAACTGCCGGAGGAAGTTGGGGAGGTGGTTCACTCCAGCCCCCAGGAAGGCTTCCGGTGCCACAACCAGGAGCAGCCCGGGGGCAAGACGTGCTCCAACTACCACGTCCGGTTCCTCTGCCCCCCAGGTGAGAGCGCTAAGGTGGCCGGCCCTTGCAGGCAGGACCGCTCACCTGTCAATCACAGTGACATCTTGTGATGGTCGCCAAGGCTTCGAAGCACCCTGGGTTGCGTTAGGAATGTGTCATGCTCAATGGCATCACCAGGCTCCTCTGGAGACCAGACCAGGTCTTGTTCTCCCGCCTATCACTGAGCCCTGGAGACGGAGGTTAATTGGGAGAGGGAGGAGGGAAGGGCAGACACCACCCCCTCCAACATTTCTCCCCTGAAAATAGGGACGTCCTATTCCATCCCCTCCAACGTTTCTCCCGTGAAAATAGGGACGTCCTATTCCATCCCCTCCAACGTTTCTCCCCTGAAAATAGGGACGTCCTATTCCATCCCCTCCAACGTTTCTCCCATGAAAATAGGGACGTCCTATTCCATCCCCTCCAACGTTTCTCCCATGAAAATAGGGACGTCCTATTCCATCCCCTCCAACGTTTCTCCCCTGAAAATAGGGACGTCCTATTCCCTCCCGTCAACTTTTTCTCCCCTGAAAATAGGGATGTCCTATTCCATCCCCTTCAACGTTTCTCCCTGAAAATAGGGATGTCCTATTCCATCCCTCCAATGTTTCTACCTGAAAATAGGGACGTCCTATTCCATCCCCTTCAACGTTTCTCCCCTGAAAATAGGGATGTCCTATTCCATCCCCTCCAACATTTCTCCCCTGAAAATAGGGACATCCTATTCCATCCCCTCCAACGTTTCTCCCCTGAAAATAGGGACGTCCTATTCCATCCCCTCCAATGTTTCTCCCCTGAAAATAGGGATGTCCTATTCCATCCCCTTCAACGTTTCTCCCCTGAAAATAGGGACGTCCTATTCCATCCCCTCCAACGTTTCTCCCATTGAAATAAGGACGTCCTATTCCATCCCCTCTAACATTTCTTCTATGAAAATAGGGACATCCTATTCCATCCCCTCCAATGTTTCTCCTGTGAAAATAGGGATGTCCCAAGGAAAAGTGCGGTCAAAATTCCGGGATCGCATCAGAAACTGGGACGGCTTCTGTAAATCCTGGAAAATAGGGACGCTCAGAGATTGTCAGACTTCTCCAGAAAATGCATGCCATAATTTGCTGCTGGATCCCACAGGGCTGACGCTTGCAGTCTTCGTGCTCCGTTTCTTCATAATAAAAAATAAAAATTAAACACACTACCTGGGGATCAAACCCTCCAACATGAGACTTCAGGAAGGTTTTTTTTCCCCTGGGGAGAGTTCCAACAGGCGGATAGAGAGACCTGGGCTGAATTTAGGATTCCCAACTCCATATTTTAAAAAAGCAATTGCATTTTAAAGATGTTTTCCCCACGCTAAATATCCTTTCCGCCTTCTTCTCTCCCCTCCTGGCTTCACATCGCTTCGAAAGATCCCACGGACTGGTTGGGGTGGTCAGCGTGGTCTTCCTGGAGCTCCTGTTCACGGACGGCCTGCGGAACGAACGGCGTCCAAACCAGACACCGGACTTGCTTGAACAGCTCTGCACCGGCCCTGGGGAAGCTAACTACGTGTCCTGGAAAACCTGCCGAGCGTCGGGCGTGCAGCAACGAACCTTGCCGAGGTAACGAGTGCGAATCCTGGGGTTGGGTACCGCTGGGCAGGGCTGTGTTTGTTGTGGGCGTTCTGCACCCAAAGCAGCTGCTCTGTTCCTGAGCTAGCCTCCTGCCCCATGCTTCATTCTCTTAACGTCTGCCCTTCGGCCCTTGCCTATCCACCACACCCTCCAACGTTTCTCCAATGAAAATAGGGACGTCCTATTCCATCCTCCAGTGTTTCTCCTGTGAAAATAGGGACATCCTATTCCATCCCCCCAACATTTCTCCCATAAAAAGAGGGACGTCCTATTCCATCCCTCCAACGTTTCTCCCGTGAAAATAGGGACGTCCTATTCCATCCCTCCAACGTTTCTCCCCTGAAAATAGGGACGTCCTATTCCATCCCTCCAACGTTTCTCCTCTGAAAATAGGGACGTCCTTTTCGAGCGCCTCCAACGTTTCTCCCCTGAAAATAGGGATGTCCCATTCCATCGCCTCCAACGTTTCTTCCCTGAAAATAGGGACGTCCTATTCCATCCCCTCCAACGTTTCTCCCCTGAAAATAGGGACGTCCTATTCCATCCCCTCCAACGTTTCTCCCGTGAAAATAGGGACGTCCTATTCCATCCCCCCAACATTTCTCCCATAAAAAGAGGGACGTCCTATTCCATCCCCTCCAACGTTTCTCCCCTGAAAATAGGGACGTCCCATTCCATCCCCTCCAACGTTTCTCCCGTGAAAATAGGGACGTCCTATTCCATCCCCTCCAACGTTTCTCCCGTGAAAATAGGGACGTCCTATTCCATACCCTCCAACGGTTCTCCCATGAAAACAGGGACGTCCTATTCCATCCACTCCAACGTTTCCCCCATGAAAATAGGGACGTCCTATTCCATCCCCTCCAATGTTTCCCCCATGAAAATAGGGACGTCCTATTCCATCCCCTCCAACATTTCTCCCATGAAAATAGGGACGTCCTATTCCATCCCCTCCAACGTTTCTCCCGTGAAAAGAGGGACGTCCTATTCCATCCCCTCCACCGTTTCTCCCGTGAAAATAGGGACGTCCTATTCCATCCCCTCCAACATTTCTCCAATGAAAATAGGGGCGTCCTAAGGAAAATTGGGACCAATTCAGAAACCGGGACGGCGTCTGTCAATCCGGGGAAATAGGGACATTCAGATGTTCTGCACCTCCTTCTGGAATTTGCAAAAGTCCAAGGAACAGGCGAGGCAATTGTTTGGGAAACAGAGACACAGGTCTGTCCGTCCCCCTCTTCCCAATGGGGTCAGCCCATCACCGAAGAAAAATTTCAGGAATGCTGTAGTTGGTCTCCAAAAGGGCCTGTTGTTGTTTTTTATAGACAAGAGTTATTTTTTTAATGAACCTCACTCCCGCCAACGCGAGATGCCAAGTACTTTTTCAGTCGTGCTTTGAACATTCTTGCTGAGACGGGAGAGTCATCCGATCTCCTTTTCCTCCTTGTTTTGCCTGGAAAAAGGAGGGCAGCCTCTACAAATACGGTACTCTTTTTCTCTCGGTTTCTGGCTGAGGGCTGGCAAACCCTCTGCGATTCTTCCCTCTCAAGCTCTTCCAAAACGGCAGCCGAATGTTTCCCCCCGAGGTTTCGCGATGGAAATAGCAGAGGCGCAAGACGGGTCCGTGCCATGCGCTGTGGCAGGAGAGCAGGAATTTAAAAGCTTGAAGGGGGTCCTCCATCCTGGGGGGTCATCCAGTCTGACCCACTGCAATATCAGCTAAATAATCTGCAGCAAAACCAGCTGATGTCTCGGGCGACTGGCGGGGACCTGGACTAAAGGTTTGGGCCTGATTCTTACCGCAGGCCAGAGATTTCTGCCCCCCTCTTCTCTGCATACATGATACTCCCCCCCCCCCGGTGGGGTAGTTTGGCCGGTGCCAGATTTACATATAAGCTAAACAAGCATCTTAAGAAGCAGAGACATCACCTTGCCAACAAAGGTCCGTATAGTTCAAGCTATGGTTTTCCCGGTAGTGATGTATGGAAGTGAGAGCTGGACCATCAAGAAGGCTGATCGCCGAAGAATGGATGCTTTTGAATTCTGGTGCTGGAGGAGACTCTTGAGAGTCCCATGGACTGCAAGAAGATCAAACCGATCCATTCGGAAGGGAATCAGCCCTGAGTGCTCACTGAAAGGACAGATCCTGAAGCTGAGGCTCCAAGACTTTGGCCACCTCAGGAGAAGAGAAGACTCCCTGGAAAAGACCCTGATGCTGGGAAAGATGGAGGGCGCAAGGAGAAGGGGACGACGGAGGACGAGATGGTGGGACAGTGTTCTCGAAGCTACCAGCATGAGTTTGACCAAACTGGGGGAGGCAGTGGAACTATACGGACCTTTGTTGGCAAGGTGATGTCTCTGCTTTTTAGCATATCTCTTTTTTTGTGCGGAAGTGGGTTCTAATCCTGCGTCTTCCGCCCCCACAGAGCCCCATTGGAGCAGTTGGGGGGCCTGGAGCCCCTGCTCAAAGACCTGCGGCGGCGGAGGGAAGAGGGTCCGTCGGCGGAGCTGCCCAAAGTCCAAGCTCATCCGCTGCCCCGGCCGTCCCTCGGAGGTGCAGAAATGTTCGCTGTCACCCTGTCCAGGTACCAAACCTCTCTCTCTGCTCCTCTGGCAAAGTTTCTCTGCACCTGGTCAGGTATCCCCATCCTAGCACCTGCCCTTATCCTCTCCCTCTGCTTTTTCCTTCCTCCCTCCCTTCCTCCCTTCCACCCACCCATCATCCCCCCTCCGTTTCTTCTACCATCACTTACCCACCTACCTAATTACATTACATACACCATCGCTTCCTTCAGATCTTTGGTGACTGGCCTCCTTCCATCCACCATCGCTTACTTACTTCTGCCATCACTGGCCTCCTTCTGTCCATCACTTCCCTCCCTCCTTCCTTCCATCCATCCATCGCTTATTTACTTACTTTTGCCATCACTTGCCTCCTCCCATCACTTATTTTCTTTCTTTCTTTCTTTCTTTCTTTCTTTCTTTCTTTCTTTCTTTCTCTTTCTTTCTTTCTTTCTTCTGCCATCACTTCCCTCCCTCCGTCTATCCGTCACTTATTTACTTACTTTTGCCATCACTTGCCTCCTTCCATTACTCTTTTTCTTTTTCTTTTCTTTTCTTTTCTTTTCTTTTCTTTTCTTTTCTTTCCTTCTTTCTTTCTTTCCTTCCTTCCTTCTTTCTTTCTTTCTTTCTTTCTTTCTTTCTTTCTTTCTTTCTTTCTTTCTTTCTTTCTTTCTTTCTTTTTCTTTCTTTCTTCTGCCATCACTTCCCTCCTTCCATCCATCGCTTATTTACTTACTTTTGCCATCACTTACCTCCTTCCATTACTTATTTTCTATCTTTATTTCTTCTGACATCACTTGCTCTCACCGGTGGCCAAATCTGATGTCCCCAAAGCACGACATTGCCCTCCCGCTGCAAGCGAATGAGGCGATGACAAGGCTTTCAAGTTTCCTCCTAACTCTACAATTCTGTGGCTCTGTGTTTCCAGCTTGCCAGCTCATCTGTGATGTGGGCATCCCCAGCAAGGACTGTACCAGTTGCACCTGCCCCAATCACACCGTCCTGGGCACCGTACGGAGCGCGAAGGGAGTGGCCCTCACCGGCGCCCAGATCTTTCTCCAGGACCGGCCCCTGGCCCTGCTGGCCAAGAGCAACCGGCGTGGCCAATTCACCGTCCGAGGCATCTGTGCCGGGAGCGGGGTCAACGTCAGCGCAAAACTCGAGCGGTTTGCCCAAGGCAGCGCCCCGGCAATCGCCAACAGCTCCCGGACATCAGCGGTGGACCTAGTGCTCCATCGACTAGGTAACAGGGCGGACTCCAATTCTTTAGCTGCATTGAGATAATCATCATTCTTTCTTACGGTCCAGAGACCCAACAAATTGTTGCAAAGCAATGCACAATTCAGACAGCCTCCCTCCAGGTTAGGGGCGCGGGTGGTGCTGTGGGTTAAACCACAGAGCCTAGGACTTGCCGATCAGAAGGTTGGCGGTTCGAATCCCCATGATGGGGTGAGCTCCCGTTGCTCGGTCCCAGCTCCTGCCAGCCTAGCAGTTCGAAAGCACGTCCAAGTGCAAGTAGATCAATAGGTACCGCTCCGGCGGGAAGGTAAACGGCGTTTCCGTGCGCTGCTCTGGTTCGCCAGAAGCGGCTTAGTCATGCTGGCCACACAACCCGGAAGCTGGACGCTGGCTCCCTCGGCCAATAAAGCGAGATGAGCGCCGCAACCCCAGAGTTGGCCACGACTGGACCTAATGGTCAGGGGTCCCTTTACCTTTACCTTACCTCCAGGGTAAACAAGCATTTTGTTCAAAAGATAGGGATCATTGGTTCTTGCAACCACTGATAAAATCCTCACCACTGCTAATGTTCTAGCGTTTGTCCGGTCTTCCAATAGGAACCTGACATAGTGAGCCTCTGATTTTCCCAGGCAAGGAACCAGCAAGGGTAATATCAGTTCAGCCCTGGCTTGCTCGTATTTTGCACAGTGCAACAAAATATGTTTTATGGAATTGATGTCTTGAGCACACGAGCAAAGTCTGTCCTGGTAGGGAACTCCTCTCAACACTGCGGAAGGAAAGACGTTTAGTCTGGCTTTGGTGAAAAGCCTTCGATAGTTTGGTACTGTCAGGTTTTTAATGTAAGGTGTTAACTTAAAGACATGCCCATATTGTACCCCTACTGCCAGCGGACTACAGACTGCGTGTGATTGAGATCGCAAGTCACTTTGTGCATTATCCCATAATCTTTGCTCTAACGTCTTTAGGGAGCCTTCATAACCCAAGTAATACAGTTGGTAATAATAATAATAATAATTATTTATTTATACCCCACCTATCTGGTTTCCCCAGCTGCTCTGGGTGGCTCCCAACAGAATACTAAAAAACACAATAAAACACCAAACATTAAAAGCTTCCCCAAAGAGGGCTGCCTTCAGGTGTCTTCCAAAAGTCAGATAGTTGCTTATTTCCTTGACATCTGGTGGAAGGGCGTTCCACAGGGTGGGCACCACCACCGAGAAGGCCCTCTGCCTGCTTCCCTGTAACCTCACTTCTCGCAGCGAGGGAACCGCCAGAAGGCCCTCGGAGCTGGACCTCAGTGTCTGGGCAGGACGATGGGGGTGGAGACGCTCCTTCAGGTCTACTGGGCCATTTAGGGCTTTCAAGGTCAGCACTAACACTTTGAATTGTGCTCAGAAACATACTGGGAGCCAATGTAGGTCTTTCAGGACCGGTGTTATGTGGTCTCGGCGGCCGCTCCCAGTCCCCAGTCTGGCTGCCGCATTCTGGATTAGTTGTAGCTTCTGGGTCACCTTCAAAGGAGCGCCTTTTTAAAAAGACAGGGCATTTATTTATTTATTCATCCTGATTTTATACTACCTCTCCCCCGCCCCCGGTCCACTCCCTGCAGAAAAACCTTACATGGTGTCCCATCCAGAAGAGAAAGTGAGGACAGTTGGACAAAGCGTACGGTTTTGCTGCAGAGCGGAGGGTATTCCGGAGCCAGTGAAGTATTACTGGTGAGTGACGGGGATCGGGGCCCGTTGCTGGGGAAGGAGGAGGAGGAGGGTCTCCTTTCAAAAATGCGCACACACTCTCTCTCTAATATCAAACAATTTATACACCGCTTAGCTCCAATAGCCTCTGCGCTGCTTACAAAGATTGTTATTATTATTTGTTGTTTATTCGTGTCTGCCTCTTCGTGACCCCCTGGACCAGAGCACGCCAGGCACTCCTGTCTTCCACTGCCTCCCACAGTTTGGTCAAACTCATGCTGGTAGCTTCGAGAACACTGTCCCACCATCTCGTCCTCTGTCTCCCCTTCTCCTTGGGCCCTCCATCTTTCCCAGCATCAGGGTCTTTTCCAGGGAGTCTTCTCTTCTCATGAGGTGGCCAAAGTCTTGGAGCCTCAGCTTCAGGATCTGTCCTTCCAGTGAGCGCTCAGGGCTGATTTCATTGCACAAAAAGAGATGAATCGAGTTAAAACGATGAAATCAAGCATCAATTAAAGTTCCTGCTGAAATAATTAAAAAAAGGTCTTCAGGCAGAAGTTCAACAGGGCGAGGGGGCCTGTTCTGATTGGGCTGCTCTAGTGAATGATAATATAATAATAATTTATTATTTATGCCCCACCCCTCTGACTGGGTTTCCCCAGCCGCTCCAGGATGCTGCTGCAGAAATAGTAATGCCCCGACCACGAGATTAGACCCCAAAATATTAACCAAAGCCTGCCAGTGAGGTACGTAATTCAGGTTAACTCCAGAAGCCGGAAGAAAGCCCCGCAGTGGGATTGCTGAAACTTCCCCTCCACCCCATTTTCACCCTTACTACGTCTGTCTTCATTGCATCTGTCTTCGTTGCGTCTGTCTTCGTTGCGTCTGTCTTCACTCATCTGGGAGCGTCAGAGAGCTTCCATGCTCACAAGAGCCGACAGCCAGCCAGAGGGAAAGGAGCTTACTGTCGGTTTGCAGCCCTGATCGCTCAGTCGGCCTCTGACCCCTCCCCCTTCCCCGTTTCTTCTCTTCCTCCAGGTACCACAACGGGACTCTCCTGGACCGCAAAGTGCACAGATATGACAGCAGCTTAGTGCTGAGGGACCTGCGGCCAAATCAGGCCGGCTCATACCACTGCAAAGCCAGCAATGACCTTGGTTCCGTCAAGTCCTCCGTGGCCCAGCTGGCTGTGATAGGTGAGCTCAGATTCCTGCTTCGAGGCAAAACTCGGGCTGGGTGAGGTTCAGGCTCGATTCTTTGGAACCCGAATGTCTGACGGGGCTTCCTGCAGCCAATCAGAAGCCACGCTTTGGTTTCCAAACGTTTTGAAAGTCGAACGGACTTCCGGAACGGATTCCATTCAATTTCTGAGGTATCACTGTATATCGCAATGTTTAGGTAAAGGTAAAGGGACCCCTGACCATTAGGTCCAGTCGTGGCCGACTCTGGGGTTGCGGCGCTCATCTCGCTTTACTGGCCGAGGGAGCCGGCGTACAGCTTCCGGGTCATGTGGCCAGCAGGACTAAGCTGCTTCTGGCGAACCAGAACAGCGCACGGAAACGCCGTTTACCTTCCCGCCGGAGCGGTGCCTATTGATCTACTTGCACTTTGACGTGCCTTCAAACTGCTAGGTTGGCAGGAGCAGGGACAGAGCAACAAGAGCTCACCCCGTCATTGCGGGGATTTGAACCGCCGACCTTCTGATCGGCAAGTCCTAGGCTCTGTGGTTTAACCCACAGCGCCACCCGCGTCCCTCGCGATGTTTAACTGGTGATACAGTGGTACCTCGGGTTACATACGCTTCAGGTTACAGACTCTGCTAACCCAGAAATAGTGCTTCAGGTTAAGAACTTTGCTTTAGGATGAGAACAGAAATCGTGCTCCGGCAGTGTGGCAGCAGCAGGAGGCCCCATTAGCTAAAGTGGCGCTTCAGGTTAAGAACAGTTTCAGGTTAAGTACGGACCTCTGGAATGAATTAAATACTTTACCTGAGGTACCACTGTACATCACAAGCTTGAAAACCAGATATCACCCAGCCCTGGTCTTGAGCCACAGACCAGCTCTACCAGCTGCTAACAGATCTCTTGTTTCGGTCTTCTCCTATCGTTTCAGACCCAGGCGTCCCAGCCTGCACTGCCGAGCCAGAAGAATACCTCATCAAACTCCCTGACGAGTGTTTCCAAGAGGAGACCGGCTCCCAGTTCTACAACGTCGGCCAGTGCCCCAATGCCCGCTGTGCCGGCAGCCTTGCCGACGGCCTGCAGTGCCGGGACGCCACACAGCATTGCTGCGGGACGCGGCGCATGGAAGTGCGGGAGATCCACTGCATTGGGTACGTCCTCCCCATCAAGGTGGTTGCGGAGTGCGGTTGCAGCTCCTGCACCCAGCCAAAAGTACTGGTCCGTGGGAAGGCTTCGGCGGCGGACGATGGTGAACCTCTGCGCTTCGGTGAGATCTACCTGGGGGCCGAGAAGATCGGCTTCACCGGTTACAAGGGCACCTTCACCATCGAGGTTCCACCGGACACGGAGAGGCTGGTGGTGAAGTTTGTGGACCGGACGCAGAAATTCGTCGAGGCCGTCAAGGTCTTCCCGTTTGACCAGCGCGGTGGAGCCGTCTACCAGGACGTCAAGCTGTTAAGGAGGAAGGAGCCGGTTGACTTGCAAGCCTTGGAGACCAACGTCATCCAGCTCGGAGAAGTGGCTGGAGAGGACCCCATTGGGGAGATTGTCATCCCCTCAGGATCTTTCTTCAGGCCCGACGGGCTACCCTACAACGGGACCGTACGGGCCAGCGTTACCTTCGTGGATCCACGGGACTTTGCCACCGTGAACGCCGCCTCCAGCGACCTGAATTTCATCAACGCCGAAGGTGACCTCTTCCCTCTCCGGACTTACGGCATGTTTTCCATGGACTTCTGGGAAGAGGGCAGCAACCAGGGATTAGAGGCCAGGAGCGTGGAGGTCAAGATGGACGCTGAGCTCATTAAGATGCCAGGGCACGTCCAGAAAATGAAGCTCTGGTCCCTCAACCCCGTGACAGGTCTGTGGGAAGAGGAGGCCTCCTTTAAGCGGGCCGCGGCAGGGCGCCGTAAACGCGAGGAGAGGGCCTTCCTGATTGGCAACCTGGAAATCCGTGAAAGGCGGCTGTTCAACCTGGACGTACCAGAGAATCGCCGCTGCTTCGTCAAGGTCCGAGCCTACATCAACGAAAAGCTCAACCCCAACGAACAGCTGGAGGGAGTGGTGGTTACCCTGGTGAACCTCGAGCCCCGGCCTGGCTTTCCGTCCAACCCTCAGGCCTGGGGCCGCTTTGACAGCGTGGTGACAGGTCGCAATGGTGCGTGCCTTCCTGCCTTCTGCGACGGCCAGCAGGCCGATGCCTACACTGCCTACGTCACTGCCACGATGGGCGGGGAGGAGCTGGAGGCCGTGGCGTCCAGCCCGAAGCTTGACCCTCGCGCCGTGGGCGTTTCTCAGCCGTACCTCAACAAGCTGGGCTACCGGCGATCCGACCACGACGACCCAGCCCTCAAGAAGACGGCCTTCAAGATCAACCTCGCCAAGCCCAACCAGAACAACATTGACGAGACCAACGGTCCCATCTACCCGTACCGGAGCCTGAGGGATTGCGACCAGGCGCCCGTCACAGCCAACCACTTCCGCTTCTACCGGGTGGAAGTGGACAAGTATGAGTACAACGTGGTGCCGTTCAAGGAGAGCGACTTGACATCGTGGACCGGGGATTACCTCTCTTGGTGGCCCAACCCTCAAGAGTTCCGGGCTTGCTACATCAAGGTGAAGATCAACGGGCCTCAACAATACATGGTCCGGTCTCGAAACGTGGGGGGCAGCCACCCCAGGACTCGGGGGCAACTTTACGGCCTGCGGGACTCTCAGAGCGTCCGGGACCTCGAGACGTATAACACATCAGCGGCTTGTGTCGAGTTCAAGTGCAGTGGAATGCTGTTTGACCAGGGACTGGTTGACAGGACTTTGGTGTCCGTCATCCCACAGGGGAGCTGCCGTCGTACGGCGGTCAACAGCTACCTGAGGGAGTACCTCGGCCGCCACCCGCCTGTCATGGAAAACAACGACACCTCGGCCTTCGCCATGCTGGCTCCCGTGGACCCGCTGGGGCACAACTACGGCATCTACACCGTGACCGACCAGAACCCACGCCTGGCCAAGGAAATCGCCATCGGCCGCTGCTTTGACGGCACCTCGGATGGGTTCTCGCGGGAGATGAAATCTGACCGGGGTACGGCGGTCACTTTCTTTTGCCAGGAACCGCCGGTGGGACGCAAGAGCTTCTTCCAGCGCCTGCTCGAAGCCCCCGCCCAGACGCTGACGGAGATCCGGCGTGAGATGGGGGGCAACGAACAGCTACGGGGAGCTTCTCAGGTGGTGGCATACCCGGCGGGGTTGCGGACCGTGTTTGCAGCGCAGGCCCGTCGGACCCCCAGCCGCAGGAGGAGGGTGGGTGCTTCACAGACCAGACAGTGAGCAAGGAAGAGAACTGATGGGTCGTCTTCACATGAAACTGGCATGTTCCTCATCTCTCTCGCACTGAGTGAGGAGGTGTATCCACGAGGAAAGCTTTGTCCCGCCTCCCTCCAGATTGATGCCTCAAAACCAAGGAAGATAAACACAATCTCCTGGCCCCACGCCTGCCGTTAATCCCCAGTGTCGATTCCTTAACCCATGCCCTACCTGTGGTCTTCCCCAAGGGTGTAGTGGTAAATTGTGAAGGGCAGGGGCTCATCCTGCTTGGCCCCCGTATCCCTAGTCCCAAGGAGAGTGCCATAGTCATGGCCGCCCCCCAGGAATAGCCACACCCCCAAGGAGAGCCTCTAATCGCACACGCGAGGATAGCCACGCCCCCAATGAAAGACACACCCCATGGATAGAAAGCCACACCCCCACGGAGGGTCCCAAAATATAGGCAGCAGGTTCATTTCATTACAGTGGTACCTCGGGTTAAGTACTTAATTCGTTCTGGAGGTCCGTTCTTAACCTGAAACTGTTCTTAACCTGAAGCAGCACTTTAGTTAATGGGGCCACTTTAGCTGCCGCTGAGCCGCCGGAACACAATTTCTGTTCTCATCCTGAAGCAAAGTTCTTAACCCAAGGTAATATTTCTGGGTTAGCGGAGTCTGTAACCTGAAGCGTATGTAACTCGAGGTACCACTGTATTCACACACAGTGTACATATAGCACGATACATGGTTGATTAAGATTGGCATAACTGCCGCCCAATTCGTGGTTTCCTTCGACTAAATCGCCCCAGGCCTAATGGCGTTGACTCCCGGCTGCCGTGGTTCAGCTTTAGCCAGCTGAATACAAGCAAAGAATCACCCCTATGTAAACCGCTAACGTGAAGCAGGAACCCCATCAAAGAAAACGGGAGACGTACCCAGCCTCTCCTCGATTGCTTTCCTCCTCCGACTTCCCTCAATGTTAACGTGTCGCAAACAAACTTGAAAGCCTTGTCGTCGCCTCATTGGCTTGCAGCGATGGGGCAATGTTGTGCTTTGGGGACATCAGATTTGGCCACCAGTGAAAGCAAGATGCCGGACGAGATGGGTTTGAGCCTTCTGATGTTCTTAGGCTGACCGGTAATTTAAAACTTGGAAACCTCTGGGGAGATCTATATAGTCTTGCGGCCACCCCCAACCCCTGTTTGTTTGACACAGAATCGTAGAATTGTATTGCTAGGAAGGGACCCTCGAGTCCAAACCCACTACAATTCAGGAATGGAAGTTGAGGCCAGCTCCTTCATGAGGACTAGATAATTGCTTGGAGTCAAGTCAAGGAATCGAATCCTGAGCAAGCCTCTCACACACACGCCACACCCCACACCCCCAGAATTCATTCTGAAAAACCTGGATGTTATATAGACATATGTATACATATAAATAGGGACGCGGGTGGCGCTGTGGGTTAAACCACAGAGCCTAGGACTTGCCGATCAGAAGGTCGGCGGTTCGAATCCCCACGACAGAGTGAGCTCCCGTTGCTCGGTCCCTGCTCCTGCCAACCTAGCAGTTCGAAAGCACCTCAAAGTGCAAGCAGATCAATAGGTACTGCTCTGGCGGGAAGGTAAGCGCCATTTCCGTGCGCTGCTCTGGTTCGCCAGAAGCGGCTTAGTCCTGCTGGCCACATGACCCAGAAGCTGTACGCCGGCTCCCTCGGCCAGTAAAGCGAGATGAGCGCCACAACCCCAGAGTTGGCCACGACTGGACCTAACGGTCAGGGGTCCCTTTACCTTTATACATATAAATATCTAATAAGTCAATGAATAGAAAAAAGGGGGGTCCTTTTGGAGTCTTGTTTCCGTGTTGCCAGAGGACGCACTTCTCTTCAAATGAGGATTCCCTGACTCCCAACCCCCTGGGAACTGGGATCCCAGCAGTATTTAAAAACGAATGTCTCTTCTAGATACAGGTACCTCGGTTCTCGGACGCCAACGAACGTTTCAGAACCCGGACACCGACAACCTTTTGTTTTCGGACGCGCCTCGGAAGTCGGAATGGCACGTTTTCCCATTTCTTCAATTGATTTTGCAGACCGCCCTTTGCGCCTCGGGTTTTCGGAATTTTCGGAACTTGAACGGTCTTCCGGAATGGATGACATTCGAGAACCAAGGTACCGCTGTATAGGCGTTCCTCTTTTCCTGTGAGTGGTCACAGGTGAGGGCCTATGGACCTATGGACCAAAATTGCGCCAGGACAAGCCCCCGTTTGACCGTCTTCCCTCGCACCCGACGCCATCTGAGAGCTCTCTTGAGTTCCACACATTCAAAGGCAAAACGCACAGGGCAGTCATTCACAAACTGCCCCACCTGTGGATCGTTGGATATCCTTATTTTTTTTAAAAAAATAACTTTTATTAGAGTATTAAAAAAAGAAATACAGAGCTTATTACCAAATATATCCCCCCCCAAAAAAAACAATATTAAATATTTTATCGAAAGAAGAAGAGGAGAGAAAGAGTATGGAAGAGAAAAGGAATTACCGTATTTTTTGCTCTATAAGACTCACTTTTTCCCTCCTAAAAAGTAAGGGGAAATGTGTGTGCGTCTTATGGAGCGAATGCAGGCTGCGCAGCTATCCCAGAAGCCAGAACAGCAAGAGGGATTGCTGCTTTCGCTGCGCAGCGATCCCTCTTGCTGTTCTGGCTTCTGAGATTCAGAATATTTTTTTTCTTGTTTTCCTCTTCCAAAAACTAGGTGCGTCTTGTGGTCTGGTGCGTCTTATAGAGCGAAAAATACGGTAAGTTAAAGAGTATATATATTTTAATTTAAGGTTATCTGTACAGTGGTACCTCCGGTTGCGAAGGGGATCCATTCCGGAGGCCCGTTCGCAACATGAGCAGAACGCAACCCGCGATTCGCCGCTTCTGCGTATGCGCGTGATGTCATTTTTCACATCTGCGCATGCGCATGCGCGAGTGGCGAAACCTGGAAGTAACCCTTTCCGTCACTTCCGGGTCGCCGCGGGACGTATCCTGAAAGAACGTAACATAATCATTGAGGGTTGCGGGAAGGATGGGAGAAGTAGAGGGGTTAAGGCTGTTGACCCGATATCCGCCAGGGCTACCCTTTGGTTCTTACGAGAAGCCATTTCCATTACGAGTGTTTACCCCACGAGACGCCCCTCTTTCGCCGTGGGTCACATAAACAGCAACTTTATATATATATATATATATATATATATATATATATATATATATGTAAAGGAGATGCGTTATTTATTGCCAAAATATATGACTGTGTTTTCACCAGCGATGTGGTCTTGCGTCTGATTTTACTTCCTCACACCCCACCAGGGCCGGATTTCGGTTTGATGAGGCCCTCAGCTCCTGAAGGTCATGGGGCCCTTTATATGTCCAGCTGTCCTTTGCCAGCAACAAATGGCTGCTGTTTTTGATGTTGAATATATGCCATATGGTAACTTAGGGACCTAATAGGTATCTAAAGCCATTTAGGGGCGCGGTGGCGCTGTGGTCTAAACCACGGAGCCTCTTGGGCTTGCCGATCAGAAGGTCAGCGGTTCGAATTCCCACAACGGGGTGAGCTCCTGTTGCTCTGTCCCAGCTCCTGCCAACCTAGCAGTTCAAAAGCACAGCAGTGCAAGTAGATAAATAGGTACCACTGCGGCAGAAAGGTAAACGGCGTTTCTGTGCGCTCTGGCTTCCGTCATGCGCCAGAAGCAGTTCAGTCCTGCTGGCCACATGACCCGGAAAGCTGTCTGCGGACAAACGCCGGCTCCCTCGGCCTGAAAGTGAGATGAGCGCCGCAACCCCATAGTTGCCTTTGACTGGACTTAACTGTCCAGGGGTCCTTTACTTTACTTACTAAATCTAGATCAGGGTGAGAGTTTGCCAAGCGTGCCTTCCTCTTAGCACATTTCTCCCTTGCATCTTGAGTTCGAAGCACCATCCCTTCCATTGATCTGGACGCTCTTGTTTGGTGATCCCTCGTAGCCGAGTAAGATTGTCTTCCATGAACACGGTCTTAACAGTGAGTCCGTAAGTGACTGTGGAGGCCAATTCTGGATCCACACGTCCTTCCACAGTGGGGACATAGGTTTCCGGGCGGGAGTTGATCACGGTGTGGATTTGCCAAGTGTGCCTTCCTCTTAGCACGTTTCTCCCTTGCGTCCTGAGTTCGAGTGTCTTCAAAGCCCACGACACCTTTGGTCAAGGCTGTTCTCCAACTGGAGCGCTCGCAGGCCAGTGTTCCTCAACTGTCGGTGTTTATACTACATTTTTTTAGCATCTCCCCCATGTCTCAGGGGTCTGGGAAAGAAAGATACTTTAGAGTCTGCCTCCATCCAGATGTTTCAGGTATGTGCGTTGGCCCAGGGCTCCTGTTCCCTCCTACGCCGGGTCTTTATGTACGGAGATTTGTGTTCTCAGCAAAAACGAGACATTAAAGTATACGAGCGGCAAGGCCTTGCCAAAGGGAAGGGGTGGAAATTATTGATGTCCGCCTGTCTCCCGGCCAGGGGACCACAACTCTCCTGAGTTTCGCGAGACGCAACAGAGCGGCCAGCCGCTCGTGCCAAGTGTTGAAACGTTATATACGACTGGTGAAGGGATGGAGCCTTTTCTGCAAAGCCCAGCACGTCTCCGGCGAGCCAGGATCCGTTCCCAAACATTCTTGGAGCGCATGACGGCAACATCAAACGCTCCGGGAGAAGCAGACCTGGTTTTCAAAACGTCCAGTTGGCGAGTTTTGCCGGAGAGGCAATCGGAGGACGAGGAAAACATTCCGCGCCCCGGTTTTGAGGACACGGCTCAGAGGGGTCCTCATTCAGGAAGGCCGTAGCTTAGCAGGGAAATGACTGAATGTCCGTGGTTCGATCCTGAACACTATTTCCAGGTAGGGATGGGAATATTCCGCTGACTGAAACCCTCCGTCAGTCAGGGTGGACGACACGCTGAACTAGATATACCAATATTCGTAGAAATCAGCTTGCTATTTCAATCACCTCTCTATTCACACCCTAGAAACTTGCTTTTGTTTTCAGAGGAAAGGAATATCGCTTTTCCTGCTGGAAGTTCCAGGTTCTTGTTGTCATTATAAAAATGAGCCATTTGTGTGTGGACGTCCAGTGAGGGAGCGATAGACCAAAAGGTAGCAGATCGAGAAGCAAATACTCAAATATTTGGGTGCAAAAAGCAGTGTAGACAGTACGCAAATGAATACAAGAGGGACGGTGCAGATATGAATAAAAATTCAAACGTTCTGCGTTCACCAAACATAGAGCCGTTACTGGCATACCAGAAGCCAGACCTAGAATCAGCAAGGCTTTTCTTTTTGCCCTGCAGTAATACAGTGGGAGGGACGCAGGTGGCGCTGTGGGTTAAACCACAGAGCCTAGGGATTGCCGATCAGAAGGTTGGCGGTTCGAATCCCCGCAACAGGGTGAGCTTCCGTTGCTCGGTCCCTGCTCCTGCCAACCTAACCGTTCGAAAGCACGTCAAAGTGCAAGTAGATAAAGAGGTACTGCACTGGCAGGAAGGTAAACGGTGTTTCCGTGCGCTGCTCTGGTTCGCCAGAAGCGGCTTAGTCCTGCTGGCCACATGACCCAGAAGCTGAACGCCGGCTCCCTCGGTCAATAAAGCGAGATGAGCGCCGCAACCCCAGAGTCGGGGACCTAATGGTCAGGGGTCTCTTTACCTTTAATACAGTGGTACCTTGGTTCCAGAACGGCTTAGCTGTCGAACAAAACGGTCCAGAATGCCGCAAACCCGGAAGTAAGTGTTCTGGATTGCAAACGTTTTTCAGAAGCTGAACGTCCAACGCGGCTTCCGATTGAGCGCAGGCAGTTGATCGGAAGCCACGCCTTGGTTTTCGAACGGTTTCGGGCGTCGAACGGACTCCTGGAAATTAAGTCCGAGAACCAAGGTGTGTGCAAAAACGCACACATGATAGAGCGATGCTTGTGCAAACAGTGCTCAGGCGTGCAAAAGTAATACATCAAGGTGCATTATACGGCGGGGAAGGGCTTGCGGAAAATGTTCCTGTTGGGTAAGAATGCCTAGTGAAATGTGTGGAGGGGGAGAAATTTGCACTAAACCACCGGCGAACTTTCGTGGGGACGTTTTGTCTCTGCGGCACGGTGGATTGAGGCAAAAATGCGAGGGACTGTATCACGAAACCGGGGAAACGAGGAACCCCAAAGCGGACTGATTCTCTCATTCCCGGTTCGGAGGGGGCAGGCGCCGAGATAGGCCTAGAGGCATCATTCTCCGTGGGGTAAAACTCTTTCCCGGCGGCAAGGATAACCCAGGAACCTTCCCCGTTCCCAGAGACGTTTTCCGTAGCCAAGGCTGACTTAGCGCCGGAGGAACGTGCCGGAATGCCCTCGCCCGTCTCGGAGTCCGGTCGGGTTTTACGAGCGTCCCAAGTCTCTGGGGCGGCCTGTGGTTTTCTCTCTCTTTGTTTCCTTGCCCTGCTTTGAGGCTCCAGGAGTGACTGATGAGAAATGCAGGTTTGGGAGAGCAAAGAGGAGGGCAGGAGGTATCTGGGCCTTTTTGGGGGTGGCCCCAATTTCTCGCCGTGACCTCCAGAAGATTGCAGGGATGAGCGTACACCCCAAATTAGGGGGCGCGCTAAGATCAGACCCTCCCATCCTGTTCCTTTCCACTGCCTCCATCCACGCAGGGTAGGAAGGGGGAGCCATGTCTGGCACTAGCGGTGGATAGGGGCCAACACAAACAAGGCCCCGGCTGTCTTCGCTTTGCCTTCCCTCCACATCCTCAAGCACTATGGAGAGAGCTGCTGGTGACCCCAAGCTCTGTGAATTTGTGCCGGGGAATTGGCCCAGAAAATCCACGATAGGGAACGCAGGGATGTAGGAAATGGACCTTTGGTCTGGCAACACTGGCTGGCAGCCGCTCCCTGGGGTCTCAGCTTTGGGTGCCTTCCTGGTTCCGGCCTGGAGATGCCAAATCGAACGCAGGGCATCTTATGTGCAAAGCCGATGTTCTGCCTTCGTGGAAGGAAGGAAGCTGCCTTCGTGCTGTGCCTGGGAACTCTGGGAATTGTAGCGCCACAAGGGGAATGGAGTCGGGTTTCTGAACAACTCTCAGCACCCAGAACTAAAGTTCCCGGGATTTCTTTATGGAGGGAAGCCATGGCTGTGGCCCGGCCCTGCTTTCAACGCATAGCGGACAATTTCAGGGTTAGCTGCCGATTCGGATTTTCGTGGAGTCGGAAAGGGACAATCAGCGGTCATCTAGCCCAACCCGTTAGATGCAATTTTGAAACGATGCGTTTCTGCAGAAGAATTATACCACGTCTCACAGGATAGGCCTGAGAGATGGGAGCCTCGCATTCCTTTTCTTAATGTGGGTTTTGGGGTGTGTTCCCGTTAAAATAGCACCACTGTAACTTCCTCCCTCGAATCACGCCAGCGGATTCCATTTCTGC